CAGGATAAACACATATATATACAAATGTAAACATTTGCAGTGTTCAGGGACAACTATAAAACCCCTCGAAAAACGACACTTCTTAGGATTTCTGTATTGGATACCTCCTTCTCACTCAATATATGACCTGTACCATCATCATTTATCCTTTGCCTCACATCTTTGTTTTCTTCTTCTCCTCCCACTGTTTCCTTCTTCATTCTGTTTTCTCAAAATAATTCCAGTTTGAGATAGCTCTCCTCCATCAGCAGATCCCTCCTTGCATGTGATCTTTTATATATATATATATATTATATATAATATCCTTGGACAAATCAAATTAGTTTAATGATGCAGGGTTTTATATATGTTCCGGAAGTTATAAATCAGATCTCTAAAACCTCTCTGAACAAATATATATGTATACATAATCAAAGTCGACTCATCATATCAGAAGCACATAATTAACGACCGATTAAGAAATCTAAAACAATCATTGTTAATGCACGATTTAATCTCTCTTAAACAGGAGAAAAATAATGAAGAGTGAAGAAATAGAAGAGATCGAGCATCTTATTAGTCGGGGAATTCAACAGTAGAGAGAGGACAAAACATGTGGTTGTTGTTAGTGATGATTGAGTTATTATTTATATATGGCTAGGAGGAAGACGATATGGTGACAAAAACAAAACCAACAATCAATAATTATAACAACTGTATAATGGGCACAAAATTTGTAGTTTTTAACTTTCATATACGCCACACACACATATTAATTATTACACTTGAATCTCCAGTATTATCTTTTGAATTGAAAGTCTATCTGCTAGCCTCCGTTCTAGGCTGTGTTGCATATATTCTTGCTGCTTCTTCTCCTACTGATTGAAATTATATGTTTGTGCAAACCACAAACAGCTATCAATGATTAAAAGACATGAATCTCTTGTAGAAGAATTGGACACGGCTAGTTACACCGAACCCAGTTTGATTATTGAATTTTATGCGTGTGTGTGTGTTTATTTGTTATCTAATTTCCAAAGATCTGGCTTACCTTCACTTGATATTTTGCTTATTTCGAAAATATTATATTCAATTCCCTCAGACCCTAACATCTATACAATAAATCTATAGAAAGCTGTATGCGCGGCCTTCTATGCTAGAATTTCCATGCAGTGTACTAACCTCACCATTTAAAATATATGATAAACAAGTTTCTCTCAAATTTATGAACGAAATTGTTTGATTTTTATTTATTCTATTAAAAATAAAATGATAATCCCGTTTCAAAATTAAAATTACTATTTACTACATAAAAATTTAATTTAATTTTATTAAGTAAGAATTACTAAAACTATCGGCAAGTTTCTAATGCATATATTAAATGTCAAAGGAATAATATGACATTTTGAAATAAAAGGGGTGTCAGGTACCCGATTAATAATAATAATAAATAGTACAGTTTATTGAAGAGTTCAATAAGCCAACAACACTTGAAAGATTAGATCACACTTTAATTTCATTGGCTAGGTTGGCCATATGAGAACCATTAATAGCAGCACCACAACAAAAACGACAAAAGGATGATGAGATCGAGCTGGTGATAATAAGTGAATAAATTAATCAAAAGCAGTGTTCTTTTTTTTTTTTTTTTGAATACTCTCACTTGAATTCTTATTCCATAATTACGTGCCAGGATGTCCAACACACATAACTGCTCAATCAAACGGACAAAATCTCTTTTCTTCCATGGTCTTGTCGTTTCTTTCGTTCTAACAAGTGGGGGTAGATATGTATAATGTATTGAGATTAAGAAACGACAAATCATTTTCTTAATCTTTTTATTAATCCTTTTTTGATAAGGAAACGACAAAGCGTTGATATACATGCACATCCGGGTCCTTTTCTAGACTGTTTAATAAAAGGGGTTAAACAGTTGTGACTTGTTGTTTAATATGATTTTATTCGTAAATTTGGTAAGATCTAGGGTTTGCCACGTACCTTAAGACTAGTATTGTCTGAAAAAGATATGAATCATGTGGGTGAGCTTGCGAAAATGTCTTCCATTAATCCAGTGTTGTTGTTTAGATTTTAATTTGGTTAGAAAATGGAATTTGAGAACGATGTGATGGTATAGATGATTTTGTCACGTAATGTCTCTTAATAAATATTATTCCCAACAATAATTCGATTTGTATTGTGGCCGTGATATGTGTACTGGCTAGTGTACATATTTTTAAAAATTAATTAGTGATGGACACCCCCCGGGACGGGAAAAAATATATATATAAATACACACACGCCATTAAGTTTGACATGTTATTAATTTTAGAAAGGGAATGACACATATACTATTGGATTAGTGTTTATCCTAATTAATCCCATACGTCAAATATGCAGTTCCTTTGCTTAATTTTTTATGAAGAGATCAATTGAAGAAAAATTGTACCAAAGAATTATATAATAGAGTTTAGGGATCAGGAAATTAATAAAACATCAGTTTTATAAACATCAATAATATCCTTTTTTTTTCAATTTAGATGGTACCAAAATTAGAGTGGGCGAGGAGATCCATTGACTAAATTTTTTCTTTATATGTATGACGATATTGAAGTAATTTAAAAGATGTAGGAAAAATGTTTAAATAACTTGAGTAGCTCAGTGCAGTAGTAGTATTAGTCTCAAACAAGATATGTCAACAAAAACAAAAAAGGAGATCGTAATTTCACCCCGTCTGAAAGTTTAGATCTTATATCAGGTACAAAAGAACATTATAACAATACTAGAAGTATATCTTCTGATCTTAATATTTCTCAAATATCGCAACTGGGGTAAAGTAGAGGTAGGTGCTGAATTTAAATCATTAGAATTGCATGAAAGGTCTCATAAGTGTGATTGCGGTAAGGCAGGAGACGCCTAGGTTAGTCACATTTAAATAAAACCCTAGACTTCCCATTATGAACCTATATATGGATTTAGATGTACACCTTTTTAATTTCCATGTTGGTCATTTTATAGATATTTAGCCTAAATACCATAGGATCATTTAAATGATCAAGCGGGCTCAGATTACATTCGGAGAAAGAATCACCAAATGTTAAATTAACCTTTTGCGAAACTAGCATAGTTACAATTGATTGTAGCACACAGAAAACTTATCACATATAAAATAATGATGTGGCGGATTTAGAATTATTGGCTTTATTGCAGATTAGTTTAAAAAGAGTTAATCCAAATTGAGTTGAATAGTTAATAACAGTGACATATCATCAGCAAAACAAGCTGGTATAACAATAATTTAGATAAGGAATATATGATAAAGATTATACATAAACCACAGAAGCACACAGTATATATTTTTTGCATGCGCTGTTGGATTTACTAGACTATAGAAAAGGGACAAATAACAGAAAAGCAAACAATTAATAAACAAAACAAGTATTATGGTCCCAAGGATTAGGTTTATCCATGTGCTGTTTCTTGGTTTTTTAAGGCCAAACGAGACAAATGTTGAGGCCTGGTTCTAAATTTTATGGTGACCACCAGAACAGCTAGATTCATGAAGAAATTCCCTGTTTTTTTTTTTAAACTACGTAAATTACAATGCAATTTTCTGTCTTATGCACACCACTTTAAAAAGCCTGCAAGAATATTATGAATGAAATCATTCTATTGTGGGGGAAAATTAAAAATATAATGTTATTGAAATGCGGTTAGTTTGTTCAAAAATGTAAAACCATTGAACTTAACCTCCCTCCCCCCTCCTTATTTGGAAGTGTCCATTGATCGATGCGTTTTAATTTTAAAATTCATCAGTTTTGGTCCAAAACTGAAATTCAATCTGAGTAAGTAATAATTTTTCATCAAGATCAGACGTGAAATCAATTATTTAGTCAATCTAAATCAATGATTTCATTTTTCAACTAACTATCAATATGTTACCGTAAAAAAATTTTTTGTTCATCTATTTTTTCAGTGGCATGACATTGAAGCCAGTCTAATTATACACAAGATCCTTGTCTTTTGATTATTAGAAAATTGTTTTCTTTAATGCATGTTATTATTTTTGCTGGGCTGCAAAACTAAGTTCTACCTACCCAGTTGTGTTTTGCCACAGATATTGTTAATTTTAACTAATATGATATTTTACAAATAAAACGAAATATTTCCCGTGAATAATAGTATACATTATTTAACTATAGATTAATTCACATAAAATCATTATCAACATGTTTGGTCTGATTGCTACACAGCCGAAGTCTTTTTCCGATTATACAGAAGTTAACCATTGTCAATTTCTTTTTCTTTATGAAAATTGTCCACCTTTCATAACTTGTTTTTTTCCGAATTTCTAATAACCTGTTAAGTAGGAGCAATAACTGGTACCCCAATCAACTCTGAACTGATTTTTCATTAGGGATTTTATTTGGACTTATACATTGAAACACTGATGACGGCCCAGATGACCCAACTTTGAATGGGCCTATACTACTAAGCCCATTGAAGGGCCCAACTTGAGCGGACTAAAGTTCACCCATCAGCCCATTACTCAATTCCCCCGTTCAACGTCATCGGCTCATAGCTCCCCAGACGCCCTTGGTTTGCAAAATTATTTTGGATTCATATCAGGACATGCTTTAGAAGTAATCTAAGTTTTAGAAATGATAAAAGACTACTTTACCCAGTGATGAAATCAACAGGGAAGCATGGCCCAAAAAAAAACAGAGAGAGAGAGAACCAACAATTAAGAATGAAGAGTACAAACATGGATTCCTCTGCTTATATTATTTTCAACATATTCTATTATAAACCATAAAATTTTAAAATCCATTAACTCAATCTTAAAATTTAATAATTTTTTAACTTTATTATTAATCACAAATTACATAATAATAAATTAGGAACAAAATCATATATTTATATTATAAATGCAATGAGATAATTTATATTAATAACAAAAAAATTACTTTCTTTATCTTATAACAGGCTAGGAGGAGTATTGAAAAATAATTAAAAAGCGTTGATTTCTTCATTTGAGAAAGTTTATGATTCAATCTTAAGATGCAAAATCATTATAATCAGAACTGAATCGATCAATGCTTGATGACATACATCCGAAAACAACGACGTCGTTTCATACTCTATCAAGAAGAGATGAATTTCTTCATCACCGCATAGAGCTCCTTAGCGTTCTGGAGATCAACATTTTGAATGCCGTGGAATCCTCCTTCTGTGAAGTGGCCCACCACCTTCACTTTCCTCTCCTCCATCATCTTCACTAACTCCTTCTGTCGATCCACCAGCGTGTCCCCCCCGCTCCCCGTCACCAACACTCGCCATCCTCCAACCCCGATCTTCTCTGCTCTCTCCGGTCCCTCTCCGGCCATCGGATCGCAATACTCATGGTCACGGTCAACTCCCACCGGCAACGACAACTTCCACAGCAGGTCCGTCTCGCACAGCGGCAGGTGCTCGTTGTTCATCAGCCGCACTTCCGATCTGGTTCTCTGGGTCCCACCGAAGAACGGTTGAACCAATATCAACCCTCTTATCTTCAACGGCCCAAGCTGCTTCACCTGCTCGGCCGCACGTAGTCCCGCGTAGTACGCAATGTTTCCCCCTGCGCTGCCTCCCATAATATAACATTCAGAATAATCGGCGTGCTGTCTCAACCAAACATCAGGACGCGTTTTGATCCGATGCAGAGCCTCCATGGCATCCTCGTACGCCGCCGGCAAGCGATGCTCCGGAGCAAGGCGGTACTGGACGGAAACGACGACGACGCCGAGGTCTTCGGCCATGTTGAAGCAGAAATCGTGAAACATGGTGGTGGCGGCACTGAGGATGACGAAGCCGCCGCCGTGGAAGAAGACTACGAGGGGCAGCTTCTTGTGGGAGGAGAGGGCATTGCGGGGCAGGAAAATGCGAGCCCATGTTTGTTTGGAAGGATTAATGGGGAGGTCTTTGGAAAGAACGGAGACGGGGAGGTTGGGATTGGGCGAGGGAGGGCTTACAGGAAGGAGATTCAAGCGGGTGAGAGTGCCGTCGCGGTTGAGGACGACGTTGAGCTTGTGGTAGGCGTCACTTTCCGAGCATGGTGTTCGGGTGGAGATGGAGTTTGCGATGAAATAGAGAAAGCATAAAGAGAATACGAGTGTGGTTGACCAGAAGAGGTTGAACTGTTTAAAGTGCCGGAGAAACATGGCCGATGGAAGATGTTGACTTTGGGAGCGAACAAGAGGAGAGGACAGATCTTTAGCACTCTCTAATCAGAAACAAAAAATGTCCAAGTTTGGGCCCGAATATGGGCTGATATAATTGGGCCTATAGTAATTGAAATACATTATAATTTAGCCCATTTTACCCACAATACATGACTCCCTCCGTTCCTTATTATAAGAGACATTTGATACTTATAGCATGTTCCTAAATATAAGAGACACTTAAAAGTTGTCTCTACTTTTTTGTATTGATTTCCTATTTTACCCATATTTATTATCTCCAACTCACACTCTCTCTCTTGCCCACTTCTCTTTCTTTTAATAATTTACCATTGTTCTCTATCCTTATTAATGAGGGCATTTTTGAAAAGAAAATTATACTTTTTACACATTGATTGTTTTTAACTAATTTTAACTATTTTTTTTATCAACGTAATTCGGTTATTCGTCTCTTATAATAAGGAACAGAGGGAGTATTATTTTCCATGCGAAACTCACAAACCAAAAAGCTGCATGCGCGGCCTTCTATATGCTGGTTTCCGTGCCATGTGCTTGCCTCGCTTTTTAAAAAATATGATGAATGATTCTCTCTGATTTATTTTCTTAATCAATGAAAAAAATTTATCCATAAATATGATACTTAAACATGAAAGATAAAACAGACTGAGATATTGTATCTACGATCAAATTAAATGATAAAATAACTCTTATATTAAGTACTAGATGTAGTATTTACAGAGATAGTACTCATTACAATACATTATTTAACTGTAGATTAGTGCACCTAAAATAACTATCATTGTTCCTGCAAAAAAAAAAAATCACTATCGTTGGTCTGGTTGCTATTGCTACACAGCCAAATGCTTTATCCAATTATATAGAAGTTAACTTTTGTCAAATCCCCCCCCCCCAAATAAATCATTGCCCATTTGTATTTTTCCTGAATTTTTAATAACCTGTCAGGTAAGATATTTTGATTGATACTTCTCGATTCTAAATATTCATTTTGTAGTGTAAATTAAACTACAGGGTATAAAATGGGTTTTATATTTAAAACCGAATTAATATTTTATTTGGACTTATACATGGAAACCAATATCAAGGCCCAAATGACCCAACTTTGCATGGGCTTATGCATGTAACCCCATTGAATGGCCCAATTTGAATGCTCCAAAATTCACCCACAGGCCCTTTTTTTTTAAAAAAATGCGCCCCACAGGCTATTACTTTCTTTCCCCTTTCTTTTTGTTTTCTGTTTTTTGAAATGAAAGGGGAAGCAACAGCTTGATAAAAGACAAAGATGACATCTAGAAATTAAGTTCAAAATGTCGTCTTAAGAATCCATAGGACCCAGTTGATCGCAACAACACTCGTTAGCTAAAAATAGCTCTACACACCCATCTGGTACTTCCGCAATCATCATCACTTCAAAGGAATTGTTATGTCCAATCCGCGCAAGAAAATTGGAATATCTAATGTTGTCTCTGCTCTTGTGATGTAGTTCCACTTCCCACTGTTGGAATGGAATATCTCTGATTTCTCCTGTAAGAAAGTAGAGGGGATGATCTGGTGACCACTCTTGCATGAGCATGTTGAAAGCCTCTGGGAAGTCTGTAAAGATGATGACTTTGATGTATCCAAGTTGCCTTCCAACTTCCACTCCAGTATTGATTGCTATGAGTTCCACTTTAGTGACTAATTAAGCACAAACCAATTGATCTCTAAAAACCCATAACCCATTCCCCGAGCTCATTTCTAATGGTTCCTCCACAAGTTGCATGGGAGTTTCCTATTACCGAGGCATCCACATCAATCCCCGCAGTTCCATTTGTTAGTGGAAACCAACTTGTTTCATAGGAGCTACTGGTATTAAAATTAGTACACTTGAAATCATTGTTGGCGACACATTCCATTAGGTTATAAAGACATCGGTGAGCAGGGTCTCTTGTTGAGACCGATCCTCCATCAAATAGTAGCTTGCACATGGAAGTCCACAATGTTCAGCAAACTAGGCCGAACACTTTGGACCATGTAAAGTTTGCAAATCTCCCATGACGTAGGTTGGATTTAGCATTCCATTTAAGCTATACCTGTAAATTTTCAGAGAAAAAGCTAGAAAAAGAGTTATGTTTTAACATAGTTTTTCACATATCTCTTGCTCTTTTACAATCTCTCGGTGTATGTAAAACACTCCTCTCTATGGCATTGGAACGGACAATCGCTTAAAGAGGAAAGGCCACATTTTGCTCTGTGTGAGTTAGTCACTAGTCTCTCACGGGACACTTGCTGATTAAATAATTTCACTTTTTCGAGTACTTGCAACTGCCAAATGCGTTTCCAAACCATATTTTCTTCACCATGATTGGTGCCTACAATGAAATCATAAGCTGATTTGACTGAAAAATTTCCATCCTTAGGTGGACACCAAGTAAAACAATAAGGAGGATTGCTAGAAGGCGGTTTTGTTTTCATCAAGAGAGAAGTGACCTAAAGAGGAAATACACCATCCCATCCGAAAACATTCCAATGTCTTGAGGCATTGATACGATCTTTAACTTTGTCTCGACTATTCAAATTTGCTGAAATATTCACATAAGAGATCAACGGGTGATCCAGATGTGTCCACCTATCCCATCAAAAGCTTGTTGTCTCTCCATTATTCACTTCTCTCTGCAAAGACCTTGGCTGACTTTCTTTCCCCTTTCAACCTCATCGCTTCGAACTTGTAGATGCCCTTGATTTGCAAAATTATTTTTGATTTTCATTAGTACATTATGAAAGATTTAATTTGTAATTTTTTTTAAAAAAAATGGAAGATTCAACCACTCCCTAGTGTTAATGCGACTATGAAAGAAGAGATGTGATATCCGCTATAATTAATTTATTTTATTTTATTAATCTAATTAAATTGGTTAAATATTTTTTATATTGAAGACAAAATATGATAGTAAAAGACTTTTTTTTTTCCAGCGATGGTAAAAGACTATTTTATTTAGGAACAAAATAAACAAGTAACCATGGGCGATTTAATTTGTAATTTTTTTTAAAAAAAATGGAGGATTTAATCACTCCCGTGCATTAATGCGACGATGAAGGAAGGAAGAGGTTAGTAGGGCCCAATTAACCCTTTTCTATTTGTAGCGGGAATGCAGGTATGTATTGTTCATACTATGGAGTCATGTGACGAAACTGTACTATATTACGGATAATATTTTCAAGTTTAAGGTTCAGTGACTTTCGTTTGGTTGCCGTGGTACACGCAACCAGAGATTTTATTATGTTGGCAAATAAAAGAAAAAAAACCAGAGCTTTTATTATTCAATCTTAATTAAGATGCAGATCATCACTACGATGATAACAACCGAACTGAATGAGTACCAGACAACATGAATCAAAAAACGACGACGTTTCATACTCATTCATCTGCCCTGCAAGACGATATGAATTTCTTCACAACCGCATAGAGCTCCTTAGCATTCTGGAGATCGCGATCTTGAATCCCGTGGTAGCCTCCCTCTGTGAAGTGGCCCACCACCTTCACTTTCTTCTCTTCCATCATCTTCACCACCTCCTTCTGTCGATCCATCAGTGGGTCCCCCCCGGTCCCTGTCACCAACACTCTCCATCCTCGCCCTCTGATCTTTTCCACTCTCTCCGGTCCCTCTCCCGCCATCGGATTGCAATATTCGTGATCGCGGTCAACTCCCATCGGTAACGATAACTTCCATAACAGGTCCGTCACGCACAGCGGCAACCGCTCGTTGTTCATCAGCCTCAATTCTGATCCCGTTCTCTGCATCCCGCCGAAGAATGGTTGAACAAGTATCAGCCCTCTGATATTCAACGGTTCAAGATGCTTCACCTGCTCGGCAGCACGCAGTCCCGCAAAGTACGCGATGTTTCCCCCTGCGCTGCTTCCCATAAGATAACATTCGGAATAATCGGCGTAATGGCCCAACCAATCATCAGGACGGGTTCTGATCCAATGCAGAGCCTCCATGGCATCGTCGTACGCCGCAGGCAAGCGATGCTCCGGAGCAAGACGGTACTCGACGGACACGACGACGGCGCCGAGATCGTCGGCCATGTTGAAGCAGAAATCGTGAAACATGGTGGAGCCTGCACTAAGGACGATGAAGCCGCCGCCGTGGAAGAAGACGACGAGGGGTAGCTTCTTCTGGGAGGAGAGGGCATTGCGGGGCAGGAAAATCCGAACCCAGGTATGTTTGGAAGGATCCACGTGGAGGTCTCTGGAAAGAACGGAGATGGGGAGGCTGGGATCCGGCGAGGGAGGGCTCACAGGACGGGGATTTAAGCGGGTGAGAGTGCCGTCGGGGTTGAGGACGACGTTGAGCTTGTGGTAGGCGTCACTTTCTGAACATGGTGTTTGGTTAGAATCGGAGTTTGCGATGAAACAGAGAAAGCATAAAGAAAGCACGAGTGCGGTTGACCACGAGAGATGGAACTGTGATAAAGGAAAGAGAAACATGGCGACGGAAGATATTGACTTTCGGAGAGAAGAAGACGGATCTCTGGCCTCTAACTATCGTTCCCATCTGCTCTTGCTTATCTGTGAGATGCCAACATTTTTCTCCCATTCCAATTTTTTAAATTAATTAAACTTCAGCGCATTTTGTCCAAACCATTTTGAAGTTTAAGGCCCTGTATGGGCTGCTTAATTCGCCCTCGTGATTGGGCTCTTAGTAATTGAAATAATTTAAAATTTAGCCCATTTTACTAATAATGCATACTGGGCCTTCTTATCTGGGCTTGGAGAAGAGCTGATCATATTTCTTTCGCCCAGAGAAATGACAGATTACTAACCCAATTTCGTTTGAACCAAATCAACTGGATTTTATATTAATTTGAAAAGAAATTATTTTTTATAATAATTAGAGATGCGAAAATAGATGGGATATCATAATATTTAAAAATCACTAAATTATGGGTGTAACTAAAAACAAAATGATTTTTACTTTTTAACAAACTTTTAAATATCTAGAAATCATTTATTTTTTTAAGTTTAAGCATTGAGTTTTTTTTTTAAAGCCCAAGATAACCATCCCCTTGACATGCTATTAATCTTAGAAACAACGTACTCCATGTCAATTAGAACTTGGAAATTTGAGGGAGGGGAGTCAGATTTTTTTTTTTTTGTGCACCAGATTGCACTTGGAGAAAGAAGTGTTCTCTGCAAATTCCATCAATCTATGACCCAACACGTGACCTCTTTTTCTTCGTCTCTCTCTCTGTTTTTTTTTAAAATATTTTTCTTCATTTCTTTATTGATTCTATATCCACACGAAGAATTTTCAAGTCTAACTTTAGATTTAGATTATGGCCATTGTCACCTAACCGATCTCCCAAAACCCGAACAACAACAAAGCATCGGTTTCTTCATTTGGTCTCACGCCATGTGATACGAAAACGGCAACGTTTCTTAATATTCATTCATGCGACTCGATGGAACATTAAGTGCCTGTTTGGAATCATGGTAAAAATTCCTTATAAATATATTTTACGTAAACCGAGATAAAACTTCTCTTACATATTTACTTCGCATTCTCTAAATCACTATTAAAAAACTGTTTATAAACTATTTATAAATTATTCTAAACGGGTTCTAAATTCTTCATAATCGCATACAGCGCCTTAGCTTTCAAGAGATCGCTAACGTCAATGCCATGGTAGCCTCCTTCTGCGAAGTACACAATCACGCTCACTCTCCTATCCTCCGTCATCAACCCCAGCTCCTTCTGTCGATCCATCTCCCGCCGTTGGATTGCAACACTCATGCTCACGGTCAACTCCCTCCGGCAACGACAACTCCCACAGCAGGTCGGTCACACATAGCGGCAACCGCCTGTCATTCATCATCCTCACTGTGGATCTAGTTCTCTGGCTCCCGCGGAAGAATGGTTGCACCAAATTTCAGCCCTCTGATCTTCAACGGCCCAAGATGGTCGGCCTCCTCTGCGGCAAATAGTCCCGCGGGGTACGCCATATTTCCTTCTGCGTTGAACCCCACTAGATACCTGTGATGGGCTTTGACTTTGTAACCTCAAATGATACAAATTATTCAAATATGTTCAAAGTTCGGCCCCTTATATATGGCTCGTTTCATTCCTCTCATTATTGGGCTTCAAGTTATAGAAACTAAGTCCAAATTTAACCCATTTTATTCACAATCCATGTCTCATTTGGGATTAGAGAAGCAGGCTCACAATAATTCAGTAGCAACCATGTTTAGGATCAAATAATCCAAAATCACAGTCACAACACCATCTTTGACTACCACCGCCCACCAGCAATTATTAGCCCAATATCTTTTTAAAAATTATGGAAGAGTCCGAGTCGGATTAGATGTATTAGTCTTACTTTTAATACCACGCTGCGTTTAACTGGGATTGAATCTAACTTAAGTTAACAATAAAGGTAAGGCGGATCATAATTAAGTAAACCAACAAAAGAATAGAAGGAAAAACTATGGTTTTTTTATCTAACATTGTATTTCTATGCACTTGTAAGTATGATATAATGGAATTTAGTTTCTTATTGATTCGGAATAAATTTTTTTTGGCCTCAATTGATTCGTAATAATTAATATTACTTCCGATTCTAAAAATAAGTTAAGTTAGTTATTTGTAATGAATATGTGTTTTTTTTAAATATTCTTACTAATCAAATTTATTAATGAGAACGACCCTTATTAGAAGGACTATCTTGGAAAAAACCAGATAAATATGAGAGACAATGTGGATTGAGGTCTTGTATTTAAGACCAAAATAAAAATCAAATAAGATCTTATATTAAGGATCGGAGATAGTACAGTATTAACTGTTATTTTTACTAACTTCAAAGACTTGAGAGTCACGCCAACAATGGATTGTACGACATTGGTATCTGGTATTTTTAATGAATATGCGTTATTTTTTTAAAAAATATCTTTGTTAATTGAGTTTATTGGCGAGAACTACTATTATTAGAAGGATTATCTCAAAAAAAAGTGGATAAATACGAGAGACAATATAGATTGGGTTCTTATATTTATAACCAAAATAAAAATCAAACAAAGTCTTATATCAAGTACAGGAGGCAGTACATTATTAATTGTTATTCTTATTAACTTCAAAGACTTGAGAGTCACGCCAGCGAGGGATCGTACGACATTGATATTTGGTATTTTTAATGAATAGATGTTATTTTTTAAAAATCTCCTTACTAATCAAGTTTATTGGCAAAAACTATCATTATTAGAAGAACTATCTCAGAAAAAAGTAGATAAATATAAGAGACAACGTGAATTGAGATATTATATTTAATATCAAAATAAAAATTAAACAAAATCTTGTATAAGAACGGGAGATAGTACATTATTAACTGTTATTCTTATTAACTTCATAGACTTGAGAGTCACGCCAGCGATGGATCGTACGACGTTAATATCTGGTATTTTCGTTCTAATCAGATGTAAAAAACAAAAGAAAAGAGGGGCCGGATGGATTTGCATTGGGTGCTCATCAGGTGATGAGCACCCAATGCTCATCACCCATCTGGACCGTCCAGATCTAATCTAGACGGTCCAGATTTATTTTTATTTTTATTTTAAAAATAATTATTTTAATAGGTATAAGATAAAAAATAAAGATAATCTCATAACTATCATTTTTTAAAAATATAATTTTTTCTATTTTAAAATAATTATTTAATAATATTAAATCTGAACCGTCCAAATTAAATCTGGACGGTCCAGATTGCTCATCAGGTGATGAGCATTGGGTGCTCATCACCTGATGAGCACCAAATGGGAACCCGGGGCCGGATCAAATGCCAGTGTGGGACACGACAAACACAAAGCGCTCCTCCAAAATACTTTAAGCTTCGGAGGATGACAGGATGCTCATAATCATAAACCAATTAACTTTGTCTGATAAAGACGAATCCTCGAATTGTTCACTGAATGAACAGTGAACGAGGACTGCAACTTTTAATGTTCTCTGGCTTCGTTTTTTTTTTTTTTTGGTGAGTGAACGTAACCTTTTGCGCTCTTCATCATCATAGTGATTGGAAGAAACTAACAAATATATATAAATCCCATTCTGCTGGAAAAGAATATTGGACATGCGTGGTTGGTAGGTTGAGAGTTTTGAAAATAAATTATTAATAGGTGAAAAAGTTGATATGTGAGGATGGTGCTTGGTAAATTTATATTCTTAAACGCATACGTGTCTAAATCTGTGATCTGTGAGATATATATGCTATCTTTGTGGACACTCTTCCACAGCTATTTGTCACTAATTTAGATTGATACACTGAGATTATTGGACCACATCATTTGTCGGCAGTGAGAGACTGAGAGGTGTCTCTCTCTATGTATATAATATTAATTCATATATTAACCCTACATTCTACAAACATGGGGAATCGGAATTATTGAATTTATTATAACGGAAAGGCAGCTTAATTATTAAGAGATACCAAGCTTTAACAGTTCATGCCTGCTTTTCTTTTAGAAAGGATATTTTTTGCGATTTAAATTTTGGATACATCAAATCAGCATGCAAGAGCGGGTCATTAAATTCATCTGAACTTGATTCCCTTGTATTTTTAATAATAATAGTAGTAGTGAAACACAGACACATTCAGGCAATATAGCCAGGAACAGGTTAGACACATTCAAAGAATAGGGAAATAAACATTTCGCTAATAATTTGATGGAATTATAATGCTAATTCTAATGGTTATATCTTATTGATAGAAAAACATCGTTCACCAAAAAAAAAAAAACGAAATGTTTAGGCCAAGGAGGGGGGGTGGGGTGGAGTGGGGATAATGAAGTAATCACTTCTATCTCTTAGTTGATAAATACTACTTCCAATTTTTAATATAAGATCTAGTTTATAGTTTAATTTGAATTATAAGCCATATTAAGGACCAGAGAGAGTACAATAACATTTCTCTTTCTTATAATTTTCATAAAATTGAATGATCAGTTGTTGTTTTTTACAAAAACAAGATAGCACGTTCTTAAAATTTTAGGGGTACTGACTTCAAAAAATCGTCTTTAGTAAATATTCAACATTAAGCCATATATTATGTCATTCACTATGCAAAATACGTAGCTTTTATGCTTAGTTAGTTCTTTTATATATATATATATATATTTGGAAATTATAAATCCAAAAAGAAACACATAACAAAAATGAAAGTGTTTACAGGAATATAAGGTTTATTTCTTTTTTTTTTTTTGGGTGAGGTGTACTATGTTTTATTTGTCTTGAACTCTCCTATATGCATCTTCCATACTTATCTGTCTCAAATTATTAATTGGAACGCGACACATTATCCATACAAAGATTATGTCTTCACGATCTTGGTCCCATTCGTGCGTGCAACATTGTTATTTTAATTATTATCAACGCAAATAAGTTCGATGAGAATGGTGCTGCCCCGACAGAATCCTCCAGATAATATTATTATTTTTGAGATGATCCATAATCTAAACTCAGTTTGCATCGCATGTAACCACTATACTGTATACAATTATACAAACAAATGCATGATGATTATAATACAAGATATGACAACGAAGCTACAATCTTGATTTAATAGATGCTTTATTTGGTACGTTGATATCTTCAATATCGGTATATTCAATTATACAACTTTGCAATTATAGAATCTTTTCTTTTGATCTCAAGCCTGATATGAAATCATGGTTGACCTGCATCATATCTTTTCCCCTTTTTCATTATCGTACGGATATCCAAATTATCACCAACCAAAAAAACTACATGCAAAACTTTCTTATGTATTTGAGATGCCAGACTATCTATCAAATTCGACTGAACAACTTGTAATATACATATATATATTTATATATAATTAACACTTGCGAATAAATGTAATTAACTCTAGCACTTGAAATACTGAGTACGATCACAACTTTCCAAATGTGACGAATGTCATTATTTCGGTTTGCCATATGATGACTAGGGAATTTGTGTAATTACATTATATTCACAAGTTAAATCTTAACTCAAGAAGCAATATGTTTCAATTAGTATCGGTTCGATTGAACGATAAGAACCCTCAATAAAGTCATTGAACGAGACCTCCTGGTCGATAACATATCTAAGGACTTGGTTGTTGATAGAGCATAATAACATCATGTGATTCATATAGACAACCCCACCTAGTAGAATAAGGTTTGTTGTTCGTGTTTCATCTCAAATTGTGTGAAAATATGTAGATGGAGCCCAGTCTTGCTACTTGTAAACGTAAAAGAGAATCTCATTATCCACTCACCTTTCCCATCCATCACTGAAGCTGATCTGACCCCAGCCAAAGAGATTCATGTCAGATTTGTCATATAATGCGACGTCTTTTTCTTTTTCTTTTTCTGTTTCTGTTTCTTGAAAAAAACTAAGGAACAGAACTTTCTCACTAAGGCATAATAAGAAGAGATAAAAAAACAAACCACACAATTATTTACATAATGCTGATATAGGTGATCTGATGGCATCGAAAATGCATGTTACTATCGAGTGACATCAAACCATTCTTGTGAGATGTTTTCCATAAATCAACTTTCCCTTGTGTCAAATGCTAATAATTAACTAGGCCGGTTCCCTTATATCTTGGACAGTTTGAGAGATGAATCATGATGTGTATTATTCATGGAACATGATATTATTTTGGCAACATTTTTGTAGGAAAATCAGAACTTGAAGTAACATTTTTTATGGCTAGCCTACCGTATGCGTGAGCTAAGGTTGGTTCACGTGACTTATAATATACTACTTCCAGTCTCAAAGGGGCGTTTAGATAGAAACCAAATCATGGTTTTAGAAGTGATTTTACAGTATACGAAGTAAATATGTGGAGGAGTTTGTTTTGATTTACAGAAAAGTGCTTTTCAATAAGAATCCAAACACCACCTAATTATAAGACCTCATTTGTGATATACAAATGAGGTATTATAATGAGGATTGGAGGTAGTATATATGACACTAACTTACAAATGAGGTCTTATAATCAGGACACTAACTCACTCGAATAATTAATTCGTCTTCTAAAACATTTGGGCCGATTTAATATATTATCATCCAATAATCAAACTAAAGTGACAAGATTAATCGAAGAACAAAGCAGTTTACTCCCAAAAAAGTGAACAATGATGTGTCTTACTGCCTATTTCTTTTTCGTTGCATGGATTGGGCAGTCACGGAAGATTAAAATACTAGCTGAACTTTTGTTTGTTGGGTTACAAACCAGCTTTAAAACCACTGCAAGATTAAGCAGTAACAACCAAAAGTCGACAGCACGGATAACTTCCCTGCGAGAGTTCAATCAATGCACAAAACTTTCAAGACGTAGCCAGCTAGTACATGATATATTCACATAAGCATAACATGGTTTGTAACTTACATGGAAAAGATATTAGTCAACGAAACCATGCAGATGCATATTCTCGCTAAGAAACTTTCCCCTTTTATTCAAATGCACTCTATACATCAGAAATGATTTTTATTACAGCTGGCTCCAATTAGTAAAGTCCAAAATCAGTGACTTTCTTCGCAACGACATATATCATCAGCAGTTTACTGGTTCGGATGCAGTCTTTCTGCAAAAGAACCTAGCTACAATTAGACATATTCAGACTAATGACATATAGGCTATAATCTTCAAACAAAAGACAATCAAATGAATCACATATCAGCAGGCAGTCCTTCTGACAAGCACATACGATTTATTGAAAGAAGTATTACCTGTATTGTGTAGATAATATTACTGCAGTCAGCTTTCTTTGCAGTTCAGAATAATCCGTAGTACTCTCAGAGATATCAGACTCCTTCAGGAAGGTTATAACAAACTTTCAGAACTAATTGGCTGTATAATTAAGTATAGATACAATCTCTTTTCCCCTCTTAATATATATGACAAGTTGATACATATATATGACGTTACCTCTAATCGAATGGTGAGAATGAACATCTCATCCCTTTTGATGGAAGTGCAGCTCACCACATTAAGCCCTTCTTTAATCAAAATACTCAAGAGCGTTGACTGCGCAAATACGTACTCTCTGAAGCTATAACTGCACATAATCTCAACTCCACCCTTGTAAGGATGAACAATAACTGAGATTCCGTGTCCATTTTTCATTAACTCATCCCTCTTTTCCTTCAATTGCTTCACCTTGTTCTTTTGGTGTTTGATATATTTCACAGCGCCATCAATGTGATCTGATGCGGATCGCTTTCCCTGATGATATCGTAATATAATCATAATACTAAAATTCAGAGAAAATTGAGGCAAATTAGAGAAGCTCGTCAACAATAAATTGAAGAGATCGAAATACTACCCTGATATATTCGAGCGGCAAAGCCGATCTGAGGGAGGCACAAAGCGTGGCCATTTCTTGTCTCCTTTGTCTTTCTGTCTCTCTATGCATCCATTTCTTGTTAGCATCTTCAGCAATTTTAACAGAAAATTCCTTTTGCTTCTGCTTGCCTTTCCCCTTTGGTATTACTTCACTTCCAAAATTAGGTGGAAAGCTTTCGTGATGCTTCACTTCTGCAGGATCGTGAAAGATCTCATGTTCTGGGATTGTTTGGATTGAGGGAGGAGAACGATTCAGAAATGAAATTTGGAAGAACAAATCTTCATCGCCAAATGGATGCAAGGGGTTCATCATTTTTTGGGATTTCAAAGATATGAGAAGGAAATCTTCAGGTATTATTATGGCGCTTGTTGACTAGGGTTTCAGACCACTCTTTTGTCTGATGTATTTGCTAGGATACTCATATCTCCGATCTGACCTGCCGATATATAAACAAAATGATTTCATTTGTTTCTTTTTTGTCTTTACATTCTTAAACTAATGCTCTGGTGGGGCACGGATGCTATTCTCCTTCAACTTATTTTAGTAATATGTAATCTTCTCATTATATTCAACATAATCGAAATTGGAAAAATATAAATTAAGATATGTTCATTCCTTCTTATATTAAATGATGACCTATGCATTGCACAGAGTTTGAAATAAAATATTATTATTTGTGATTTATAAATAATACAATTTTCTATGTAATTTATATAAAAAATGTTCGATCGAGTTGGTTGAGTCTCGAGAGCTTTAAGGCCAAGGCAAGTCTAAATTCGAAAGAATACTCGACAAGCATTAATATCAGTATTTATAAATTATCGATCAACGAGTACCTGATCATCTTTTGTATATATATAATTTCTTACTGTTAAGGATCTTATGAATTATGATGCTAATTCAAGCTGAATTCACTATAAACAGAGAAATTGACTTTTACAATATTATTTTTTTTGTTAGTATTAACCATGTGGATATTAAATGAGACACGTTTTTTCCCACTGTAGCAATAGCGGCAGTATGTATATATAATTGGTCAACTACCATCGCTGTATTATATATTAATTTTTAAAGCTCCTTTATGGAAAAGAATGAGGACAAACAAAACAATGAGGAAAATATAAGTGAAGAGGTCATTTTCCCATCAAAGTTGGACTTTTGTAACATCTGTCTCCCAATTTGAATTCACAGTAATCTTTTGCATAGCGGTTCAAATCTATAGGATCTTCATATTTAAGGTTGCTAATTTCTATTGCACATCATAAATAGTGGCATAATCATTGAGCATATAATCATTATTTTATATATATAGTGGTTATCATATAACCACGCATTCACAAGTGAAATTAAGTGTGAATCAATAATAAAATATTACATACCCACATTAGGTGGTTTCTTTTTCTCTTTCAGCATCTCACAAGTTATGCAGTTTATTTATCTTCTTTTATATTATGTTAATGATTGATGATATTTTTAAGTACTGTGGAAGTCCTTAAGTTTCATCCAAACTATAATAATTTTTTACATATATTAATACACAAATTATTTTATTCAAATGACCATGTGTGTATGAGAGTGTGTACAAGGCATAATTTTAATGAATTATGACCCCAACCAATAATTTTATACGATTGTCGTTGTGAACTCAGGAGTTTGATTATATATGCAAAATGTGATTTATAGTTTATGAATTGTGGTAGTTGTTATCTTAATGGAGACGCAACGTGTGTTTTCTTTTGTCTTTATCCACACTTGAAAATCGACTGGTGTAGAGTGGTGATTTCTAATTATTTTTTACTATGTATTATGAGCTTAAGTTTTAGAAAGAAATTTACTGTGTATGAATCCTGATTTTAGTCTTAAATTTATTCTGTACATAAAAGTTTTCTTATTAACTTAAGTGACTACGAATTTAATCCCACTTATAATCTTGAATGTTAGTGCTTATCCATGTAATAAAAAAAAATCCTCACGCTAAAAAAAAAAATCTTTCTTCACAATTTTAATTATAATATAATACGCTAGAATTCCTTTAAATGATGCGTCCCATTGATTCACCAGGGTAGCTAAAAAATGTAGATGCATCCATCTGACATGAGAAACAGAGGAAATTAAAAAGGCATCATTTAAATAATTTGGTATGCAAAGCAAAAGCAAGAAACATATAAACAAATACTACTTTTGAGGGCAAACATCTATTAACAACTTCTACTTGATGTTATAATCTCCATTAATAATATATAGAGCCTGTTTGCCTTAGTGTTTGGAGGACAATAAGCTGCTTGTTTTCAAGTATAAGCCCGTCTAAAAAATTTCTAGTGTTTGGATTGGTGATTGAGCAATCTGATTTTTGTATGAAAAGTTACAATAAGCTATACGTAAAAATTAGCTACTTATGACTTATGGTTTATGACTTATAGCTTTTAAAATATATAGAGAGAGAGAGAGAGACAAAGTTAAGAAATTTATTATCTCCTTTAGTTCTTATTATAAGTATCAAATAACTAATTTGTATAGAACAAAAAATAAGTTACAAGTAGTTGAAAGTAATAAATAAGATAGAAATATACTTTTGTTTTTAAATATGCTCTTAGAAATATACTTTTATTTTCAAATATGCCCTTATAATAAATGATAAAAATAAAAGAAAATATATGAGATCAACAAGAGCTTATAAATAATTTAAAGTTATTATATTATGTAAATTGATAATTTTTTATTTTTTATTATTTAATAAAAGTTTTACTCATTTTGGTAATTTTACAAACTAAAATTACTTATTTAATCATAATCCAAACAACTTACTTATACAAACTAACTTTTACAAAATCCAATCCAAATACAATTCACATTATCTAATCTCACTTTTTTCAAAAGTCAAATTGACAATAAGCTACTTTTTCAATCACTAATCCAAACAGAGCCATAATTGATATTTGATATGCAAACTCTGCCGCCTTATTAATATACTACCTCTGGTCTTAATTATACCTAGTTTGACTTTTAGTTTGGTCCTAAATATAAGACCCCAATCCACTTTGTCTCTTATTTTTATCTATTTTTTTCCAAATTACCCCTACTTGTATTATATTAAGTATAGTCAAATACTTTGTCTCTTATCTTTATCTATTTTTTCCCAAATCCTCTCTCCACTTCTCATTTTGGAATTAAAATTTGATTAGGTTAGTTTAAATATTTTTATAAATATATTAATACACTTTTAAATTATTAAAATAAATATATAAGTGACTCAAATTGTTAAATTTTAACCGCCCCTTTTTAAATAGCAATGAACAGAGAGAGATCGATTAGGTGCTGAAAAACTGGGGTTTGTCGTGGTCGGAAAAATAGCTCACGATCGTGCAGGATATTTTTTTAAAATTTGACGAGGGTATTTTTGGAAAACAGGTGCTATTTTTTAACTATTAACTAACTTAACTAAGTTTCTTAATTTTTCTAAATTAGTCAACCGGTCTTATAATTAGGATCGGAGGTAGTATTACAATTGTCTAAGACCTTATAACTCATGATTCAATTCGCAAGATTCACTAGATAGCATGCATGTATCGAGACACAAATCTGTCTAAAGAAGTGCAATATTGATCCTTCCGAATCATAATTCCTCAACCAAAAAAGAAAAAAAAGAAAAAAGAAATCAACATTGATTGGCTCCCCGGGATAATATAAGTATCAAAGAAAATCCTAGGCATAACATCTCGATAATCATCATAATTAGTATTTCCGCACAAGCATAGTATGTTAATGTATTTTTCAAGTAATTGCTTATAAACAATATGATCAATGTTCTACCTGCTTCTACATAATGGCGACATGCGATGCATTCTATGTAATTGATTCTATATAATGGGATAAGACTCTGTCATCGTTATTATTATAAATGATGGATTTACTTTATTCACTGTGAGATAGCAATCAGCAGGCAGTAAAATAGTGATAGAGAACTTAATGATGTTAGTTAATAGATTACAATCCTAGAAACTGAAAATGCTTGAGTTCTTTATAAGTCCAAATATGTTATTATGGCGTTTTAATTAGTTCTAAAGCACACCAACCAACAACACACTTGTTGATGCATTATTAAAATTTCAGTCGCTTCTCATATCTCTTCTTTTATTTATGCCGAAATGCAAAAGTATAATGTGCTCTTAGTGATGCATGCATGATACTAGCCACTTCACCAAGTTGATGGGTTAATTAGGACTCTCTTAAGTTAATTTAGCTGCTAAATGAGATAACAGCAAAGAAAATTCAACCAAATTAATTGCTAATCATCATCTATATAAGCGGAATCAGACATAAAATTGCTCTGCCAATTCAACTATGTATCTAGAACGGGGCAAATGAATTTAATTATAAACATGTGAAACCTTAAGGCATATTCATCAATTTTTATAGGTATTCACAAGCTACGTACTCATAGTTGAAAGGAGTGCAAATTTGCAGTTTTCCACAAGATATATTAAACATGAGAAACCTTAAGGCATATTCATCAATTTTTATAGGTATTCACAAGCTACTCATAGTTGAAAGGAGTGCACATTTGCACTTTTCCAGAAGATATATTAATACATAGTGCTAATAATTAATCACTCTCGTGAATTTTGTCACACTATACAAGTACATTCAAAATAAGTTAACAAACATCAAGCAGCAACCAGCTAACTGCCCATATAGGCAAGTTGAGAATCCAGAATTATATTACATATTCAGATCAATCATGCTCATCACAAAGTACATGAGAGCCACTCTCTAAGCAAATAATCCGTCATTCCTAGTTATACCTCGACCAGAAGATTGCGCCATTCAGTTTCTTTTCCAGACCAGCTATATCAAGGCTTTCCAAGTTATCCACCTGTTCAACAATTGATCTAGCGAAGTTCATTGAACTTTTTCACTTATATGTTTAATTAAATATCTGGCCAAAAACTAGAATCTAGAAATTAAAGAAACCCTAGTCACAAAAATTGCTTATTTATCAGTACCTCAGATTTAATAGAGTGGTATAGCCTCCCATTCACTGGGGTGGTCACACAGCTCACAACATTACATCCTTCTTGCATCAATATTTCCAGCAAGAGTGATAGTGGAAAGCTGCTTTCCTCCAAGCCACTGTCTACAGAAATTTCCACGCCAGCTGGAGAAGGCGAAATGTTGACATACTTAACCATATTTGCATGGCTACTTGAACTTTCGTCTATTTCCGCACCAAGCAAACTTGGATTAGCCTTTTGTTTGAGCTTATCTCTCTTAATTTGGAGTTCTTGGGTTTTCTCCTGCAAACTTTTAATATAATTTGCAGCCTCCCCGATGTGATCAGACACTGAACGCTTTCCCTGTAACCAGATCAACGAAACCCTAAATCAACCCATACAGTTCGATTTCTTGTGAGGTATTTTGACAGTGAAAGTTGACAGAAAAAACATGAACTGAAATTTAAAATCCGAAGGAAGAAACGGAATTTAATTCTGTAAAGACCTGGATGAGCTCAAAAGGTAGCAGCGATCGTAGTGATTCACAAAGGGAGGTCATTTCCAGCCTTCTTTTCCTTTCAGTTTCCCTACGAATGATCTTCTTCTTATCATCACAAACACTTGCCTCTCCATAATTATTGTCTGAAGAAGGCAGTGTGATATGCTTCTTCCCTCTGCTCATTGCGGTAGGTAGAGTCAGGATCACTCCCTTCGAGTGATTGTTGGCCGAGAATCAGATCTTGATGATGATTTGCAATATCTCGTTCTGGGATTTTAGTGGGTACATAAAAAAGGAACGAAGGATCCTTGTTTTGGTGGAAAGGAAAGCTAAGCATTGAACAAAGACTCCAACAGTAGTCTTAGTCTTCAAGTTTTTGCTCAGCCCCTTCCTTTTCTATAATTAATCGTTTATCTTGTCTTCTTTTCCGTACTTCTTCTGCTGCAGTAGAAAAGAATAATAAAATATTTAGGATATGCTTAATTTCGCTAACATAGGATGTTGTTAGGTTCAAAAGTTTTGGAAGAGAGGAAAATGTTTAAGTTTTATATACTTATGCGCATTCACTTTATGGCGGATCAGCATTTGTCGGCAGGGGCAGGAGGAACCTGAATTCAGCAAAGTTACCCCGATCATAAATTCTGGGGCAAAAAAAATCACATTCGGAAACCCAAGGTCTTAAAATTGCAATTGCTTTAAAGAAATTAAAATAATCATCAATAAAATTTTAATTTTAAAAATTCTTTCTAAAATTTTATCAAATTGAAATTGCAAGTATTTGAAATTCCTTTGGAACTTAAGAATAATTTTTTTAAAAGGTTCAATAATAATTTATTATTTTGGTCCATAATTTAATTAAAAATCTTAAGGCTTTGGTTTTAGACTTAGTTCATTTATCCATATTGTTTTTGCAGTGAGCAAGAATAGAGAAGAATATGGTAAGACCGAGTGAAGCTTAAGAGTTGTTTTTAAAAATTAAATCAACGGGCTGAACAGTTTTAAATCGCATTAAATAATGATTTATCACATATAACTTGTCAAAATTATGCTCATTAAATTTCTTCAGCGTTAATGAAATAGATTTTTTTTGGCCGGGTAATGAAAGATTTTCTTGGCTAACCTTGATAAAATAGATTGAATTATCGTAATGAAATTTATGAAAATCTCGATCTATTTATACAACTTCTTCGATATCATAATGTAAAGTGTTGTACTTTTTCTTGCATAATGAAATTTTGCAATATATCATAATAGTTATGATCAAAAATGATAAAGCAACACGGACGTGACGTCAATAAAGAGGTTAGTGCTATGAAGACACTGTATATAGATTGGTCCCCTGTGCTTGCCTATAAAGTATATGTTTTTTTAATGAAAGATTTATATTACTCTAGATAAAATATACTAATAAAATATTAAAACGTACCGAATCATGTCGGTGTGAATAGTTTCATTTTTTAGATAAAACGGTGGGAGTTCAATTCTTGTCTTTTTTTTTCCTCTTCCTTTTTGTTACATATAAGTATTTTTTTATATTAAAGACAATTCTATTTGAGATACATCTCCTCACAAAAATGCTAATATTGATTTGTCACTTCAGTTATCATCATCTCTCATATGAAGATCAAATCTAAATCGATATCGAAAGAGACTATATTTTACCTTCAATAACTTGAGGGACATTATTGTTTGTCGCCCATCTAGAGCGTACCCGGGTCTAACACTGAAAAATAATATAATGGGACATACATTTCTAAATAAAATAATCTATAATAAAGTACATAAAAGTCATGTATATGTAATTTTTAAACAACCAGCAGTTGTTTTTATTATATTTTTTCATAATAGTATATTCTTTAGTTTTCAGTTTTGACTTGCTCAATGACCAAATTTAACCTACAGTAGACGAGCTTGAATTATAAGAAAGAACTTATCAAAATAAAAATATGGAAAAAGGAATATTCAAACACACACATTCTTTTTCATTAAATAATAAACTAAAATTTTCTTTAACAAAATCTTTAACTTTTATGAGACCATATGGAAGATACACACACACACGTCTTATATTATGTTGGCTCTTCGTAAAAATATACGGAAATTAATAATTTCAGGATTTCAGCACGAAGAGCCAGCATAAATATGAGATACTAGTGTGCGTGTGTGTGTATTGCCTCAACAAATTAAACTATGCATTTTAATTTATCTCTCCAACTCTTTTATGAACGAACTGTATATACAATAATACCATAACAAATATCGAATATCTGACCCCAGAAAACAAATTAAATGCAGAATAAATCAGAGAATAATTCCTATTTTGGTAATTACTAAACATATAAATGTGACAGAAGGTAGAATCCATAAATCGAATGCCTTGAATCCGACATCTTTTCAGGTGAGGGATATATACTTAAGGAAAATTGCTTATTCCGTTAGAGAGTTTGAGTAGTTAGTTTTCTGTTTTACAGTCTTATATCAATGCAATTATGCTATATTCCCCTTTTTCGTTGGGTCAAAATGATTATGCTGCTATATAACTCTTTGTTACTTCCATCTCAATTTTTTAAATTGCAGGAAAATCATTAATTCAGCTGGATTCATATTCATTTTATACCTGAATATCCAGACTAATAAATAGAAAATAATCCTTAAAACCCAGAATCTCATATTTTCGACATATCGAAGTCAAATTAGAGTCACAATTAATGCATGCATACCCAAATTTTAACCTCGTTGATCTTTCTTTTCCTTGGTCCCCTCAATTCAAATATACACAAAATGAAGGAGGTTTAACATTTGGAGAGAAGAGTGACTTGAAGACGGAATGGATTCTGCTAGTTTTCTTTGTAATGCAGAGGGTTTGATCCCAATTAAATCAGAAACCTGCAAACTAAAGCCAGAAATTAAATTAAGTAAAAAATAATATAATTGTTTTGGAAGCAAAAAAAGAAAAAATCTTCAGGGCACCAGAAACTACCCTCAATTTGCTTTGAAGAAACATAAATAGAAAAGTAAAACATTACCTCCGCGTGGATGGTATAGATCTGCCTTTCTTCTACTTTTGTATGAGCACAATGAACAACACTCAACCCCTCTTTGAGTAGTAAATCCAATAGTTTTGACAGAGGCAACATTTGTGCTGTGCTGAGAAAAACCTCAACGCCAGCCAAACTTCGAGTAACAGAAATAACATTTGTTGGTGGGTCTTGAGCTGTAGCTTTGCTTAAGGTTGTAATCTTAGGGTCATCAACATTCAAATTGCACATCATCCTTAGCTTGTCCCTCTCACCACTCAGTTCCTCGATCCTCTTTTGTAGGTGTTTGATGTACTTGGCAGCCTCATTTAAGTGATCTGATACCGATCGCTTCCCCTAATCAAATCAATCCTATCATATTCTTCGTCATCATCAAAGTTTCAGCCAAAAAGGCAATAAGATATGGTTGTGTTATTAAATCAGCAGCCAGTATATATTATCCTTATGAATCTTGGTTTAATTATTTTTTGGCAAGTGTGTTGAACTGAAATTCTAATGCAACAAGATTATAAAGAATTCAACCCCAACATACATGATCCAGGGTGGGCTACAAATTACTCATGCGCTTCTTAATTTTTAATTCTCTCTTCTTTTTTCCTTAATATATGTAATCCTAATTGATAAAACAGCTGTTTTTACAGTACTATTATACTAGGCTATGAAACATGAGTTTTTCTAAGTACTCTTCTGATCTTAATATAGGACCTAATTAACTAATTTGAATAGATTAAATATGTTAATTAAATTAGTTAATGTGATTTTTTTTAGACACTCTAAGCATCTTCATTGATTTCCTCCATTCCTCTCCTACTTGATTATTATTGGGAGAATATCATAGAATTAATTTGGAAAAAAATTAATAAACATGTAAAATAGGTATTGTGTATAGGACCAATATCAACTCCTTAATTAGTTCGTACATTAAGGGTGCAGGAGTACAAATTAAAGAAAGGAATACCTTGATGTACTCGAGAGGGAGTAAGGATCTCATGGAAGCCGAAAGATCGGCCATTTCTTGCCTCCTTTGTCTTTCCATGTACCTTCGGATGAGCTTCTTTTGAATATCATCGTAATCTTCTTGCAGGCCAGGTGGGTTCTGCCGCCTATTCTTTGGCTGTTTGTTCTTGTGAAACATCAGATCGATCTTCTGGGAATTTGGTTTCTAATAAATGGGAATCGTGAGATTAAGAGGAGGATCAACTGAGTCTGAAACTGGGTCCCTAATTCGTCATGATTGGGTTGTTAAGAAAACAAAACCATGTTGATCTTCTTGATTCTCAGTGCAGAGCAAAGGGAGATATGATCGTTAGGGTTCACCCATAATGGGACAAAAGGTGGCCAACCAAGATCTCCCATATCCCCGAGTCTGAGATGAGTGAGAAGATCATCTTCTGTATAATTTTTCTTTTAATTTGATGGCAATTATTTAGTATATGATAATTTGAGCATTGCCAAGCTTAAAAGATGAAGTCTTTTTAACATTTTTCTCTTTGGTTGTATACGGAGAATATTAAAGGGCTAATTATGCTCCTAATTTTCCTATTAAGTTGATTACATTAATTATGTTCCGGGTCCTAATCTTTAATTTATTAAGCAATTTATTCTCACTTTTGTTTTATTACCACCAAAAAAAAATCTTAAGATGTTTTTTTTACCCTTTACAATAAAGTAGTAACGTGTGTGTGTGTGTATATATTTATATATAAGACCATCGTTGACAACTAAATAACCACATATTAATTACGTCATAATTATGTGCGCATATATATTACTCCTCCGGTCCTTAATATAAGACCTATTTAACTAATTTAATTATATTAAGAAAGTTAAGGAAGTTAGTTAATTATAAGAAATATGACATGTTTTTTCTAAAACAGCATAATCATTTTTCTTAATATCCTCCATTCCTCTTCTACTTGATTATGGTTGAAGGAATATCCATAAGGATAATTTAGGAAAAATTGATAAATATGAGAAATAGGTCTTGTATTTAGAACTAAAATCAACTCAACAATTAGGTCTTATATTAAGAACCGGAGAAGTATATTCTTTTCTTTCATGCAAGGAAGCATGCAAAACAAGGTTTTATTCAAGGAACATGTCAACCTTCAAGAATCCAATGACGTGTAAAATTTTTGTTTCAAATGTTGTTAGAAAAACAAGTTGGTTTCACATAGCAAAGAAAGATGCAAAAGAAAAGGAGACAATGGTAGGTATATAAAATATTACCTTCGATCTTTAATATAAGACCTCGTTTAACTTTTATTTTGGTCCTAATTATAAGACCTCAGTTCACTTTGTCTCTCATATTTATGCATTTTTTTCTAAGATAGTTCCTCTAATAATAGTAGTGTTAGCTAATAAACTTGATTAATAAGAATATTTTAGAAAAGACAATACTTATTTGTTACAAATAACTAACTTAACTTATTTATTTAATCTCCTCAAATTAGTCAATTAGCTCTTATAATTAGGACCGGAGGTAGTATTCAATAAGAAGTAATTGCTTACCACAGGTTCCGTTACGGATTAGTAAATACTTTTTCAAAAACGTTGAACACGGGAGTGGATTCATTACTAAATATTAAAATAATAGAGGTAATTAATTAAAACAAAAGACTCCGAATCGTTAGAATTAATCACTAAGTGATTCCTTTTGTACCCAAGAGCAAATTGCATGTGTTCCAGAAAGCATGCCACAAAATTAGATTATATACTATCTAGATTAATCAACTTAGTCGGAGGAGCTTATAAAAGCAGAGAGGGAATGCACCAAACCCTAATACATGTAAAGAGAAGATCTCCACGAAAATAGTAATAATAATAGGTACACTTTGCCATTATAGTGGAGAAGAAAATTTTTAAAAAAAAGGGATGCAAAGAACCGATACAGAAAGTTCTGAGAAAAGCTTACACTAGAGAGAATAAAGAAAAGTGGAAATAAAAACTAAAAAGAAAGCACCTAAGTCCTCAACCTATGAAGGTGCCTCTGAATTTAAATACAGAGCTTACCCTTGGCAGCTTATTTAATGGAGGTTGGGATCATGTCCTTGTCCTACTGATGAATTATGGATATTGATAAACTTTTAATTTAAAAAAAGTTCGTTGGGTCCCATGCTTCTCAATCCTCTAACTTTAAAGGCATATTTTAATTGAGCTAATATGACCCATATATTGAAAGCAACGCCTCTTATAGAACTTTAGGTTTTCATTATTTTATTACTTGATATATGAGCATATAGTTGAGCATTATTAATTGATGCATTAAAAAATTTAAAAATTCAGGCACACCCTTGTGTTATTATATTGAATAATACTAGGCAGGAGATTACAGGAGGATTTGCTTCGGCTAAAGAATTAAAAATAATGTGTCACTAGTTAAATATCATTTAATTTAGAATTGGAAATTTTTCGTTCTTTCTTCCTGTTAGCAACGCATTATGTGCTGATGGGTTTAGGGTTTCCAGCTGGCACAAAATAAAGATCAAGGCGACTTTGTATCCAAATCGAGACCAGTTTTTTTGGAAAATTTAAGAATTAATCGAATCATGTGATAAAAAATAAATTAATATATATAGTTCGCTTCTTCACCACCGTATATTTGTTTATTTCATTAATACAAAGAGTGAAAAGCTCCCGATCGGCAGCAGCCTTATAATTCTCTAGTGTAATTTCCTCTAACATCCTTAATTATTTGTTTAGTAATGTTCTGATAATTAACAGTCCTCGCCAAAAATTTCTTCGAAACATCATCCAAATCCAGGACACAAAGTAATTAACAACTTTGACCACCGATGTCTGTCTGATCAGCAGGCAATGTTCTTATTAAACATGTAATTAAAATATGAAGTTCGCGATAGCTTTCAATAATGTCATACTCATAAAGAGGCCAGCATACCAAATTCCATTAGGATTTGTGTCGTTAGTTGGTGTGGAAGAAATCTCCGAAGACAACTCATTGCTTTGTTGTAAAGTTTTTTTTTTTGGTTGTTGAAAAAATATAATTGATTATCCATGATATTCCATTATCTGCCGTCTCATTGCTTGCGTGTGGTACCACACCAAGGAAAGATAAGGAAGGAATTGAGTGGATATGTTTGTTAGGGTTTGTGATCTTTCAGATGGAAGGCCTAATAATTAGAGACGGCACAGAACTGATTCCAATCTCATCAATAAACCGTAGTACTTAGTTGCAGTTCTTGAACATGTTAGTGGACATGGGATGCGAATCCAGATTCACCGTAAAATACTTCATCGCCATCCCAGCAGCCCAAATTTATTTGACACAAACATCTTTTTTTAAGGTTAAAAATGTGTTACATTCATCATAAAAGCTTGAGATAAAATAATTATCGAAATTGAATATGGTTTGGGTAAAAAAGAAATTGAATATGTACAGTTATTTGTCATATTTTGATTTAATTTGACTAGATATGTATGTTTACATATTTTAGTTTATATATATTGAAGAATGTAACACGTAACAATTTAAATTAAATATCCTTCAATTAAAAAAAGCATACCCTCTTCAGTTTGAAAATGCTTCATCAAGATCCTATAAATCTTTAAGCTAGTTGTTGTTCTCGCTCAGTCGCCCCTCCTAATATCGTAATAGAATAAGATTATAAACAAATTTCTTAACAAAGGTAGTTGTAACTGTTGTCACATTAATGAAGAAACTCACGTGCTTTAGAGATAAACACTGAAATTATTTATTTTAATTTTATATTCACATTAATCTGCTTAAACTTATATATCCGGATGGACACACTCTTATCTTCAATCATTCCAATTGAAACGTTGATTTTTGTTTAATTAATAAACATTACATATTTGAAATGTTTTGAAAGATTAACATGATCGCCGCCCTTTGACGAGCGCTTTTAAGTTTTCTTTTTTCCCAGCACGAAGGAGATTTTCTTACTATTAGGAAATCTCAATTAGGAACGTTTATCTTTCACCAACCCCAATTGTTAATTAGGAACGTTTATCTTTCACCAACCCCAATTGTTGACCAGATAAAACATTTCGATTGGAGTAAGACAGTACACATATATTGATAATTTGTTAAACCTAACAAACTTGAATTGATATACTAAATCAATAATATTATATAGAAAAATACATCTTAACTATAATTAATATAACGGTTAAGTGCGTGGCCTTCATACAGCAGCAACGCCACATTAATTTGGTCCTTTTAGCTATTATAAACAAAATGATATAATGAAATTTTCTTAATAATTAGATTCATAATCACACTCTTTTCACGAATATTCGCAAATCATGCCAAATTGCCATTATAATTGCTTCAATCCGTACCATTATAAATGTCTGACTTTCGATAAGTAGAAGTAATTAATAAGAAATCTATTATACGAAAAACTGATCATTTAATTTTCTTCCATCTTGATTCTAACAAATTTTCCATATAGGCCAGCCATGTGTAACACAATAAAGTAAGATAAAAGGCGCTTGAAATCCTATAACCAATTTAAAACCTTACCAACTATTTGCTTTTATCTTGGCTAATTAGTCTCCCATATAAAACAGTTTTCCGAGGATTCCTTCACATCACTCTGACTTTTCCCCCACCAAACCTCACTATTTTAATAACGTCCCAGTATACTTAAAATGCTTTAAGTCTACACTTTGCACAAGCATATATACCAAAATCATATAAATTAAGCAGAGATCATAAAAACCATGTCTGATGCTTCTAATAATTTATTATAATTCATAAATGGTTCAACTAGCTACTGGAGTTGTAATTTCCAAGTAATAATTAACATGAAATTATATGGTTGCCACTATAGTAGCATTCATATTCCGTAGTTGTTAAGTTTCTTTTTTCAGGTTAATTGATGTACCTTTGTCGGTCACTAGCGCCTAACATCTTGGATTCCACGAATTGTATTTTCCATTGTTTAGCTAGGTCAATAACTTAACTTGTGGTTATTATAGTATATAATACATCAATGATAGATTAAGAAGATCAAAATATTTAAAATATATATCGACCACGTGCCATTAATTGCCTGAGCACTTTTCTTTTTTTGAGTTGGTACACTGATCGTTTCAATGATGGTGAAAACCCATGATTATTTAGGCTAATTTTTTCCAGGATAGTGACTTTGAAGAGGGTGAATTGTACAGCGGGCCGTAAAAGGTGATGAGCCATAATTTTTGACCCATCCATGACCCAATTATTTTTCCATCTATGAAAATTAAAGTTCGTTTTAATCAACAACCATCAAGCATTTTAAGGTGATACTCCCATAATTAAATAATTCATTGTCTGGAAGGAGAATATAAATTAGAGGAAGCTGCTAAGCTGTTTCCCTAAGCATCATCATATTGTTGAATATATAATGGAGCAACAATTGTGGTTGAGCGTCCGAATATAATTTTTATATCACAGGAAAATCTTCGCGTTGATACTGTCGACGTATTCTATTATACTTATGTCAGCTTTTTGTTACCAGGAATCTGGTACATACATCGTATTTAGAAGAAGAAAAGAAAACCAGATTGATGATAATTATCATGTCTTAATTAGATGATCTTCATCCAAAAAGAAAAGAAAAGAAAAGGAAGAGGTGTATGTGGAAATCCAAAGAATTCAGAAGAAAGAGGTGTTAACTGGCATTATATATATATGCCCCACGTTTGATAAGACTTAAAATAAAAATTATACCTTTCAAAAATTATACCTTTCAGACGTTCTCTATATTCGAGTTAGCTTCTTTTTTCCCTACTCGAGTCATTATTGCCGCATTCGCTGTTTCTTAAATGATCTAACTTATCCACTTCAAGTGAATTTAGCCCAACTTTTTATCAATTCCAATCTGTTTGTAAGGTCCTAGGGAGTCAGGCATCAAAATTTTAAACTTCACTGATCACTCGACTCATCAAGTCTAATTCATTGATCAAGCTTGAAGATTTAATTAATGAGCCGAGTCACATTCAACATTTTGATCGAGCTAACAAGGAGTTGGATTTAATAGTTCGTAATTGTTCGATTCAGTTTTACCTTGAAGTAAAAGTTTCCTCACTCAAAGGATAACGAGATATGAGATAACATTAAAAGCCCAAAAAATCATACTCTTAAAGACATATAGGTATAGAGGTTTTTTTTTTTCCCCTCCCCTTACGTGAGAAAGAAATTAAAAAGAAAATAGTGGAGCCGTTAAATACATGCATGTACGTACATCCATGATATTCTTACATACATACATATATTATAAACGGCTCCATGATACATATTGAAAATTACATGGCTTTTAGATGTTATAATACTGACTTATAATTACAAATAACTTTTTCCACTTTTCCTGCCAATTTAACCAGGTGCAATGGCTAATTTTAATTATCAAAGTCAAATATCAAACAATGTAAATCACGTAGTATTCCTTATATTTCACCGATCTTCAGAAAAAACCAATAAAGAAATGGAGACAAATTAATTAAGAAATGCCTAAAGTAGAGTGCTGATCCACATGACATATACGCAAATTATTAATGGGCATGTATTAAAAAAATCTTCTTATACATAACGCATTTATAATACCCCCAATTAGGTCACTTCCTATATAAAATCACTATGCCTTTGAAAACGGAGGAATCTTGAAGGTCTCTAAGAAAGAGAGCAAACCCCCAAAAATCTGTGCTTCCTGTAGCCTCCATAGCCAAAATTTGAATACTTTTGATCAGTACTCATTGAAACAGAGCACAGTATGTTTCCTTCACAACGAGGCAATGAGATGGTTATCGAATTTTCTAGCCGTCCCCACCACCATCAGCAGCAGCAGAAAATCTCAGAGGATCTCATTGTGGACGGCCATGCTCATGCTTCTCTGGATATGATCAATTTTTCGGATAAAAAATTACAAGCTGGTACTGGCAAGCCGAAGAAGCTACTTTATGAGTCTTCTCAGGATAAGATTAGCCACTATCGAAATTCTGATGACGAATACAAGAAGAAGAACGAAAAGCTCATTCACAGGGAGATTGAGAGGCAAAGAAGGCAAGAAATGGCCACCCTCTATGCATCCCTTAGATCTCTTCTCCCACTCGAGTTCATCAAGGTAAAGTAGTACCTAAATTCCCATTTCCTTTCTTCTATGTGTATGTAAACTAACTCAGCAACTCTTGCGAAATTCCTCTAAACTGGTTTTTGAGATCTGAGCCAAAATCCCCCCCTTTCTCTCTCTTGTTTAACTCGGCTTCTACCTTGTACTAACCTGAATTCTTCAGGCTTGGAGATTATTACAATACTGAGTGGAAACTTTCTGGTTGTGTCTCTTTTATGGGGACGAAAAATGGTGTTTGATATTTTACTAGTTAATTTTAGGGCTTTTGTTGTGGTGGGCTTTCTAGGGAAAGCGTTCGATATCAGATCACATGAATGAGGCCAAGAACTACATAAAGCACCTGCAAAAGAATATCAAAGAACTGAGTGCCAAGAGAGACGAACTGAAGAAAATATCGGAGAATTCTTCGAATCCAGAAACACACGAGTGCGAAAATTACACATATAGCGGCTTTTTCAGCGTTCACGAGATTAATAACAATGTTTGTGTCGGAATAGAAGTTTCTAGTTCCTTCGGAGACGAAAGGTTTTCCCTTTCAAAATTGCTTAAACTGATGCTTGACGAAGGACTTGGAGTTGTTAACTGTGTTACCAGCCAAGTCAACGGAAGATTAATTTACAGTGTTCAGTGTGAGGTATGGTGGTTACAGCTTAAAGAGCGATTCTCTCTTTTATTTTATTTTACTTTTTTCATAATGTTTTAATCTTGCAATAATATTTTTCTTTCTTCAATTATTGTACTTGATTCGCAGGTTATTAGCAGTTCCGACCGTGTAGACCTGCCTGCGCTGAGAAGGAAAATTGTCAATCTAGTCCCATCGTTTAAATGTTCTGATTAATTAGCCATACGTTAACATTAATTTGGGCATTGACAAGAAACGCATGATAATTTGTCCTTTTCTAACCGGTTAGTTAGTAGTTTCGATGTTGGGGTGATTTTGCTTGAAATGTTTGACGTGGCCTTGGTTTTGATTCAGATCCTTCTTTTTTCTGAACAATGAGAGGGAAATAAGAGGAAAACATTTCATTCATTACAGGGCTTACCCGCAGTTTTTCTCAGACAGATTGTGACGATTGAATTTCCGACTTTGTTGATATTTAAATCGGTACATTTATGTGTTTTTATAACTTCACAGCGTTGGTACAGTCACGAATAAAACTGTCTTGTTAAATTACAGTAATATCTATCTAATGATGTCCAACTCATGGGTATAAATTTGGTTGATTTCATGGAGGTTCGTAGATGATTTGCTTCACACTTAATCACCTTTCACTCAGTTCATGAAATATATGTTACTAGAAAGCTTCTCCGTTATATATAAAAACCGCATCAAACTCATGCTTTGGATTGTGATGTGCATCCAAACATCGATATTTATTTTTTCTGACTTTTGTAAGTTCTGGGTTCTTTAGTACACTATCTTACGTGTGAGGTGAGTATTAAATTCTTCTGTTGATTAATTAAGTTTTTGGCTAATTAAGCTTTGTAGTACTTGTTGAATGTATAATCTGCTTTACTCAAGTTGCATATCTCGATATATACCTTGGTTTGTCCCATGCTTGTTTAAGATGATTTCCTTTAAACTTTGAATAACCAATGCGTGAAAGAAAAGTTTCAACATATGGCTTGCAGTTCCAATGAGCAGGATAGTTTTATATAAGGAATTAATTAAATTATCATTAAAAAAAATTCTCCTATATATGTGTGTGTGTGTGTGTGATTTAATGTTTTCATGCATCAAAACTTGAAAATAGATTTTATTTATTATTTGAGCATGGATTGTGAGGGGAATAGCCAGAATGCATGTTCTACCCAGAACAATTAGAACTGCATAAGTTCTGCATGCATGCTCATCTAAACCTATCATATGTATGACTGATCATCTTGCAGCTTTAGATATAGAATTGATTGTGTTGCTGAAGAATGAAGATTTAGAAAAGAATATTTAGAAAAGAATAACCTGATATGCTGAGAATTAGCAATGATTGGTTGTGCAGAGTATTCTGTGAGCTAGCTGCATAATCTGATATGGTGCATGTGCTGTTTGATGCCCTGTGTAGTATTATTCTGGTCGTGATCCCCCAGTGGGCTTCACATGCGCCTACACAAATATATAAATATATATGTATATATGTTGAATATATTGCTAAGTGTTAAAGTACAATATTAATTAATATCCCTAATTTCCTGTACGTACCATTCTCCATTCTATTATTCTCATACACCTAGCCTGCCTCACAACTTGCTCATAAGCTTGTCAAAGCCTAAACAAAGCCACTTCTCAAATATGGTGAGATGAACAAGAAAGGAAACACAAAAGTAAATTAAGCTTCTGATCTGACCTTCCATTATATTTCAGCACTCGGAAATTAAACAACTCTAAGCTGGAAACATTCACGCACATCATTTTTGTATATATTACTACGTGTACATAATAATCTAAAATTTTTTTAACAAATTCACGTTTTCAATTATTTATGGTGATTGGACCTGGGATTTTGATGCGTGCGCGCTCATGGATTTTCTCACAGTATAAAGAGAGCTTAAAGGAATGCAATAAATAAATATTAATTTAATATGAACCTTAACATATGTTGATACCAGTGAAGTCCAATCCAAGCTCATCCCGACATGAATTAATTTAGACAAACTTAGAGATAAAACGAAGGAATTCTGAGTCGTTTAACTGGTTAACGATATAATTAACCCTATGTATAATATGAGGGGATGGAGCCATGGAGGTGGAGGAGAAGAGAAATTTTAATGAATTAGATTTTGAAATTGAAAAATTAGAATCATAAAATTTTAATTAAAAAAATGTAGGATAAAAAATACAAAAAGTTTAATTGAAAGTTCTTAATCCACTTCTTCAATTTTTCATATCAAACTCGGCAAAAATTGACATGGATGTTAGCCCAACAGCTTCAAATTCTGACTCTCAAGCGAACTAAGCCCATCTTAAAAGTTGGACTGGGCTCTTGTGGGCCAAGCCCATTTGTACAGCTAGGAAGCAATACAGTGGTAGCACATCAGGCAACAGAAGGAAAGTCCAATATCCCCCCCCAAAAAAAGAGAAAAGAATATTAAATTTTGGGACAGATTTCTTGTTTGATTTATGAATAACAGTTTATAGTAATAACAGTAAGCGATAAACCAATAGTAAATCTACAAACGGTATGAAGTTTAAGCAGGGAGCACGGATTTGCATGGAGGTTAAGATAAGGTGTGCCTTATGTATTACAACGTGTCAGGAATGGAATTACTTACACTTTTATATTTTATATTGAACCGAGCATTTACAGACAACTAAAATATGAAACAAAAAGCTGTCAAAGTGAAATGAACAGAGAAGAGGTAAAAACCTTTCCATATGAAGTAATGTGGGTCACGTGGCTTATGTGAGTATTTATGGTGGAGGGGTTAAAGGCCTCAGATTGATGTGGAGGGCCACCACCTTTTCGGCATTCATTAGGCCATAAGTCTCAACTTCAGTTTTGAACCAGGTGCACCCAACTTCAGCACCCCTTGTGATAAATCACAACCCTAAATCAAATATATATATCTATATATATATATCAATTTAAAGTGTCATCATTTACGTAAAATAAAATTATATGTGTTCCTCTTTTGGCATTTTATAGAATTGATTTCTGAGTCTGAAGAATCCGTTTTTTGTTTGCATGTACAAGATAGATGCGTGCATGCAAGCAGTTGGCATCTGTATGAAAGGAATTTTTCAAGACAAAAAAATACAGTAAAAAAATCATCTCATCAAATCCTAATAAATTTACAAAATCTGAAGCGCAGGAGCTTCCTAGCTCAGCAGCAATCAACATGCTCTATACTAAAGTTGGTGAAAAAAATGATTTCTTTTTCAATAAATCGTTCCGTACAAGAATTTCAATGCGCGTTTTTCCCAGACTTGAGGGGAAATGGAGATGGTGATGAAGATGAATATTCGGTCGGCAACTGCGGTGGCTCCATGTCTCCGCCCAGCATTCTCACAACCTCTTCCATTGAAGGTCGACGAGACGGTGACTTCACCAGACAGAGCAGAGCCACTTTAATGCAGAGTATGGCCTCCTCTTTCTCCGGCAACTTCATGCACATGTTCTGATCCGCCAGTTCTACAAGCTTCCCGTTTCGCGCACAATGGCGTGCCCAGTACAATAGATTCCCCCTTTGAAGCTCTGACAATGGCGAGCCGCTCACCATCTCAATTGGCCGTCTTCCTGAAACTATCACGAGCAATAGGACCCCAAAACTGTAAACGTCGCATTTTTCTGTTATTTCTCCGCCATGACTGTACTCTGGAGCTGCGTAACAAACTGTTCCTTTCAAACTTGGAGTACTGCTGATTCCTCCACTCTTGGGATTGTGAATTTCTCCGCTAAAAGAATCATGGCTGTTCCGGCTAATTCCGTCGAACCACCAATCGATACTCCTGCCTCTTCTTTTGTTCTTCTTCATTTCTCTATCAAATGCTTCCTCATCACTGTAGAATCCCTTTTCCTTGTTCTTCTTTTCCAGCTTCTCGCGGTACTCCTCCCTCCACCATTCGAATTGCTTCTTGCTCTTTTTCTTGTCATCGTCCTCCTTCCTCCACCAATCCTTCATTGACCTGCTCTTCAACCTCTCGGCGTTCTTCTTACCCCTGTCGCAATTTTCCTTGGCCGGGAAGTCTGTCTCCGGCGATGTTTCTACCATGGATACTGTTTGCTCCTCAAAACCAGTATTCACGCTCCCTGTTTCCTCCACCACAGACCCCGAATAATCGATTCCACTGAAGATATCAAAATCGTACTGGGATTCCGATTTCAACCGAGCCAGACCGAAATCAGCGATTTTTGCTGAGAAAGAAGAGTCCAGTAGAATATTACTCGGCTTGATATCTCCATGAATCACAGGTGGGTCGCACGAATGAAGGTAACGGATTCCTTTAGCTATATCAATAATTATCGCGAAACGTTTCTTCCAATTCATCAGCTCAAGGCTCTTCCGTCGCAACAGAGCATCGTGAAGATTTCCGTTGGGCATTAGATCGTACACCAGCAAGAATCTTCTGTGACTCCTATCGGAGGCGGAGCCTATCGCGACGACGACATGTGGGGAACAAAGCTTGGAAGCGAAGAAAAGCTCGTTGTGAAACTCGCGCTCGCCTTGGATAGAGGCAGAGTCCATGAGCTTGACGGCGATGGGCTTTCGTGTCGGAGGCAGAACACCGGAGAAGACAGGTCCGAACCCGCCGTGGCCTATTCGGGTCGAGAAGGAGGCGGTGGCGAGGCGGATGGAGGAGTAGGAGAAGCGATGCGGAGGCTTTGACTCGGAATCAGAAGAAGGGGTAGTGCGTTTTCTGGTGCGTCTCCGAAAACAGAGGAAAGCGAGAAAAAAGAGGGAACAAGGTGGATATGGGTCGACGGCAACCACCTCAGACGGCGGCGATGTGGAGAACCGCCGGGATGGCATGGTGATTTGGGATTAACTTTGAAAACGTTGCGACAGCCTTGAATATATATGCGAGAAGGAGCAGAAGCACCGCTGCAAAAATCATCTTGAAATTTTGACTTGTATTGATTTTGTCGCGGCTGAGCAATTTTTCAGTCTCTTCTAATTTTAGAAAACTCTGGTCATATTCTTACAATATGATAATTTAATATGTATACATACGAATATATATATATATAATTTTGACATTTCAAAATGTGATTGTGGTGATATTTTCGTTAAAAAAAAATGTTAACCCTAAAAAATCTAGGCACCTTTATGGGACAACTAAATTGGAAATTCCTTTTTGGAACAATTTGCAATATTTATTATTTATTCATGCATCACGTGAACAAAAAAAAAAATTAAAATTTTCGAGAAGATTAAGTTCGTTGGACAAGTAATTTTTTCCTTTTTGGCACTCTACGCCCCTTCTTCTTTTCCACAAACTGGTAATGGTTTCTTTTTCCTGGCCATTCTATTATTCATATTCTAAAAACTAACAATATTTATCTTGCTGTCTTTGTTTCAGATTCAACCGTATCATGAATAAAATAAAATACGCGAAGGATGGCAAGAAAATCTAAATCTTTGCCAAAGTTCAAGATATCTGCCATGTATATCCATAAAGGCTCTTTGTTATTTTTCTTTTATTGCAAACTGGCAAAGAAAAGGTGATGGTTCTCACTTCGCACATTACAAAGACAAATTTCACGCGCTAAAACTTTGTGATCACGTGTGGGTACCACTTACCAGAATCAAAGATGCGAGTTTTATTTATTTATTTATTTTTGCCAACATGCGATTCTTAATATTTAAAACTTTAATATCAAAATGTTCTGCCTGAGATTAATAGCACTAAAGTACTCTTCTAGTCCTTGATATAAAATCTATTTAACTAATTTGATTAGATTAAAAAAGTTAGGTAAGTTAATTAATTATAAGAAATATGATATGTTTTTTCTAAAACACCATAATCATCTTTCTTAATATCTTCCTTCCATCACTTACTTGATTATGGTCGAGGGAATATTCATAAGGATAATTTAGAAAAAAAAATTAATAAATATGAGAATAAGTCTTATATTTAGGACTAAAATTAACTTAATGATTATGTCATAAGAATCAGAAGAATATTGATTAATAAATTTCGAATAAGTATTAAAATAGGGCTCTGAATGTATCCGGCAACTTTTCTTACATTTTCGTTGCATCTTCAGAGCACTTTTAGAGACCCATTGATGAGAAAATAAATACAAGATAGAAGGAGAAGATGATTGAGGGAAAAGGTGGGAAATATTGAAGAGCATTGGGAAATGAAAAGGCGTGGAAATTTGGGAATAATGATGAGGCAATGACGAGAAAAATCAAAGATGGAATTGGAGCATTAGGAAGAAAAGAAGAGGGGGTAGTGGAAAATTAGGTAAATGAGTTTTGGAGGCTTTTATTGACTTTTAAACAAAAAAGCTTCCTCCTTCTTTCGCCTTTTATGAGTGGCCACTGGTGGATCACCAGAATGCAACCTTTAGCTTGTCTCTTTTTGGTGCCTTTTTGACCTTCCAATGTATGGTTTTTTGAAATTTAAAATTTAGCAGACACATGTTTGCTAATTAATACTACTATAATATATGAAAAAACGAAGTCACATGTCACTTTTTAATCATGGCCATCTCAATGAGGGGGGTTTTTTTTTTTCCCCATTCACCCTATGAAAGAAATTCATGTACTCTTCATTTTCATGGAAGATTAAACTCACAATACCTTCAAATTTTTTATTTTCCATTTTAAGATACATTTTTTTTGGTATAAATAAGGGCTAAATATGTGTAATTTTACCCCTGGCAACAAAAAAAAAAAAAAAGAGAGTGCAGATTTACCGAAAAGAAAAGTATTTTTATGTTGCTGAGTGTTGACGGGTGACCCTTTTCGAATAGAAGTCAAATTACGCTCGTAATAAACAAGGCCACAATCGGCACACGTTCGACCGCGTCACTTTTTATTTAACTTTTTTTATTTTGGGGGTTAACCCAAATGGGACTTTTTTTTTGGGGGGGGGAGGGGGGCCAACCAACCCAAATGGGATTGCAACTTATTAACCACGGCCTCCCTGCTAAGGATTTGAAATATTTCTTCCGGTATCCATTTCCACTTTATTTTTTTTAACTTGAATCCTTTCAATTTCCAGTGATTAGCTATCTTAATAAATTATAGGACCTCGACTAGTCAACTAGTCAGGTAGATAACTTTGATTGTAATTATTTAACTGACAGCTCATAATTATATGTTTTTCATCGTTTGAAATTGATGTGAGTTTAACATTCTCGTCTGGTCCTTAATATAATACCTATATAAATAATTTATTTAAATTTAAAAATTAGATAAGTTAGTTAATTATAAGAAATATGACATGGTTTTTTTTTAAAACACCATAACCATCTTTCTCAATATCTTCCCTCCATCTTCTACTTGATTATGGTTAAGGGAGTATCCATAAAAGTAATTTAGAAAAAATTGATGAATATGAAAAATATGTCTTATATTTAGCACCAAAATCAACTCAACAATTAGGCCCTATATTAAGAACTGGAGGAGTATTTGAATTTAATACTTTTTTATATAAGAGTTAAATAATTAATTTACAAGTATTAATAAAATTAATTGAATTAGTTATTTATAATAAATATACGTTGATATTTGCAAAATATTTTTTCTAACAATGCAACTACATTGTCTTTTGAAGGAAATTATTTTACTGCATACTAGGAATAGTGTTAAAATTTGAGATACTATTGTTATACGTAAATTTATTGCCTGACTCATGTATTTATAGGATCAGATGAAGTACTTGTTATTATATGATTTAATATAAATTTAGGTAAGAAAAAATATGAGGACGCATGTGATTTGCAATTTGGTCGGAAACCATAGTCTTAATCATAAAAATTGTAAACATGAGTTGTAAACAAGAAGCCTATATTTGAGGGGATATAAACAATTGGGGTAGCATGTGATATTATTACAAAAGGAGGAGATAGTAGTATAATATTTGGGGAAGCAAGATTTCAAAAATTCAAACTGCGGGACGTTACATTACATCCTCTTTCGTTGCCGGCGATTCCGTTGTATTAGTTTGATCCTCCTTCTCCCAACACCCACCTCTCTATCCTATTTATCTATTATATATAAATATGTATATTATTTAGTAGCATTCATTATTTTATTAATATAACAAGTCAGTCCATGAATAGTATATGTGTGTGTCTTTGACCCTATCCAATCCATCCAGCTCATCATTTAATTTGGAAATCAATCTTCCCTAAATAACAAAACATGCGTTTTTTCAAACAAAAACATGGGTTCAGTCATCCCATGAAACTATTGATCAATCCCCGCACGCTCTTCATTCCTGAATCTACCTAACATTTTTTGACTTCGGCTGACATCCCAGTTGGCGCCACACGCCTAAAATTATACAATCACTTCATAAACTATGAATCATTTGACAACACATGTGCTCTCTCCCCCATATTTGATATTATTTCCTTCCGTTAGTTTACTAATTTAAGTAGATTAAAAAAACTAGTTAAATTAATTATTTGGAATAAATAGGAATCGTTTTTCTTAAAACACTTTTATTGATAAAATATTTAATATGTGTAAAAGAAGCTGATGTGATTAATTTACAAGCTACAAACAATAAAATTTACTTCTTAAAGTTTGTATAACGTAGAGAATAATTATCTCCAATTTTAAATAATTGTTACAGGTTTTATTAATCTCAGCGTGCATGCTCATCCAAAAGACCTCAGATGATCCTATCCAGCGGGCAGACACCCAGACCGGATCAAGATATTGATGTATTGACCCCATGACCCAGTCCTTACGAAGCCCCAGTGGGTTCCCATATCTCTTGAGCAAGCAAGTAATGACATAGCGCTACTTGACTTTTGTTTTTGTTTTTCCTTTTCATTAAGTTTTATGAGACCAAAAAACTTCTATTTGGAGACATTTATACGATGAACGAATGTCAAAACCAAAAGGAAAATGATAAATTCCGATAATCATAAGTCAAATATTAATTTATGGTGCTGACGACGTGAAATTCCAATAATCAATTTACGATACCTGGGAACACAGTTTCTATTTCGTCTCATTTAGTTTTTTAATAACACCTTTTGTGTGCAAATTAATTTTCTGCCTAAAAAGCCGCGTGCATATTTTTATTTTGTGAGAAAAATATATCTCATCATTAATTTCTCAACCCGTCTCATTGATCTTTTATTTTTTTGGGTAGAATGGGATTCATTGATCTTGATCCAAAAAGCAGTACGCATTTTAATATCGCACGGGGAGATATTGGGCTCAACTCCTCTATCTTTGGGAGTGGACCAATGTGTGACTTTGGGCCGTCCATTGCTCGAACACTTCAGATCCGCCGTTGACCGACATAAACCGAGTGGTGTCGTTTTAGCCTTCAGCTTCGGGGAAGCCCAGAGGCTTGGAGCAGCGTGCCAGTGTGGCGGGGGTAGCAGCATTAGAATTCAACTCGACTATTTCTGCATAATAAATTTTTTATATTTATGGTTATTCGAATACTTGTCAATCCTTAAACTAGCAAAACGACATCACTTAATGTCAAAACGTGGTCTTAATTATTTTTCATATAGCCATTAACAGTTCATTTGGTGTCTTTCTTTCTTCTTTTTGAAAAACAAAAGCAGATTCCCCTGCGCAGCCAAACAACCTCTTAGAAGTATGTGACCAAAAGAAAAAGGAAAAACCTCTTCGTAGTCTCACGCGCTGAGATTAATCTCATGAGTATCAAATATATGCCTTATTACCCAGATTGCTATTTTTAAGTGCGACTAAATTAAGCATATTTCTCATTAAAAAAAAGCCGGATAAAAAATATTCTCCCCGATATTGAAAGATGCGGAAATTTTTCATGTCACATTTAATTGAAAGTAGCAACAGAATACAAAAACCAAATTTTTTACTCAGCCTAATTCTAAAATTTGTGCTCCATTGGGTCCATGATAGAAATCGCTTCTAAAGAGTGACATGGTCTAAAATACTCCTCCGGTCCTTAATATAGGACTCAATTCTTGAGTTGGTTTTGATTATAAATATAAGACCCATTTCTCATATTTATTAATTTTCTCTAAATTACCCCCTCAACCATAATTAAGTAAAAGAGAGAGATGTGGTATTAACAAAGATGATTATGGTATTTTAAGAAGAATGTGTCACTTTTCTTATAATTAACTAACTTACCTAACTTCTTTAATCTAATCAAATTAGTTAAATGGGTCTTATATTAAGGACCGGAGGAGTATATTTTTTGGTCCTATTTATAAGTCATTTCAAATTTGTTTCACATAGATAAAAAAAAAACTTTAAACTTCATTGACTCTTATTTAAAATTTAACAATTTTTCTACTTCATCCCTATTTATAAATCGCTTCTAAAGAGTGACATGGTCTAAAATATACTCTTTGGTCCTATTTGTAAGTCACATCCAGTTTGTTTCATATAAATTAAGAAAAATTTTAAATTTTATTAATTCTCATTTAAAATTTAACAAATTTTCAACTTCATTCCTATTTCATATACATTACACCTCATGTAAACAAAGTTAACACAATAATAAATGAATGGTGAAATTATACATCCATATAAAAAAAATTTATCTTAATACCCTATAAATATAACCCAACAAATTTTCTTCTCTTTCCATCTCATGAATAGGACTAGAAGAGTAAGTCAGTTAGAGTAATTAATACTTATTTGTTAATTTTGTCCCTACAGTCAGTGCTTAAATGTAGCTTTATATTTCTCTTTCTCGTGAACATCCTCATTTTGATGAGTAAAGTAGGAAAAAAATTTCAATTTGAGAAAGATTTAATGAGTTAACTACTTTTTTTTTATAATTCAAATAAATTAGTTAAAATAATTTATATTGTGGATTGGCTTGGAGTAGTGGGTTTTATACAATACATCCAATAACAATGAGTTCACCCACTTTAAAAAGAAGAAAAAGGCGGCTTGACAATAGGCCTATTAATGTTTTGCACGAATTATGGTTCAGATAGCAAAATGCCGCAGGGTGAAGACAGCGCTGAATGATACATAAATGCATCAAATGGACACGTCATGCCCTTCAGTCAAGAAAACGAATGGCTTGCTGGCCGGCCGACCCTGCTCCCTCACCACGATGCATTGCTTTTAGAAACCACAGATTCGTGATCAGACAAGCCACCTATTCCGGAACCAGGGCTGACACGAACATGCTCGATCGCACTATTTGTGTTTTATACCAAGCAGAATTGCAATATGTAACATATTACATATCTTGTAGTTGTGTTGGAACGTAACTTGGTGATAGAACTTCATGCAAAATGCAACAGAAATGACAGTACAAAAGGAAAGCTTAATGAAACTACAATATTTGAGGATCAAGCAACAATTTCCATTCTGTCGAACTTTGATGGCCCTTTCGTTCCCCTATGTCATATACTGCTTGAATCTGCAGATGGATTAGTTCTAAGCTGATGGGAGATGTAGGCACGCCAGATCATTATTAGAAGCAAAAATAACAAGCATTTCCTTCTAACGGAAAAAAAACTGGAGGCGGATTAAAAATTGCAGAAACAGATAGCTTATTGCAAACAGAGCAATCCTACAGAAGTTGCAAGAATTATTCCCAGCGAAACTCATGTTATAACTATAGGACTTCTCACCCTGTGAACTCCATCCTTCCAAACCAGACCTCCAAATTCAGGACCAGGTTGCCTAGATTTTCTTGTGAAGGTAACCTTGTAGGACAGGTTCTGGTTCTTGCTGGTAAAATGCAAGACGTCAGGCTCAACTTTAACGGAAGCACCCTTGAATGGTGAAACCATGACATGGTATTTGGAGTTAGGAGGGCCAACATTGGTGACAGTCCTGTGAACAGTCAGAGCTGAAATGGCTGTTCTCTCTGGAAACACAACTGAGATAGCAGGGTAATTTAAGTCCCCTGGACTTGCAAGAGAGCGCCCACAAGTTCTGTTCGAGTATTTAGCAAAAACTCCCAACTGGGTCCGAGATAGCTTCTGTGTACATAGGAAGTCGAAGTAATCTTGTGGCTGAATGTCATAGATCAAACCCGGGTCAAGGGCTTTTCTGGGGTTGATGTGTCCAGCCCCATGATCATATGGGGATGAAGATTCAGCTGATGAGGCATCTTTTAGAGGATTAAGAGTATTGTCGTGAACATAAGCTGTCGTCATGAGGGCAGATTTTATGGCGGCTGGACTCCATTCCGGGTGCTTTGCCTTGAGCAAAGCTGCAACCCCACTTACGTGTGGGCATGACATGGAAGTTCCAGAGAGTATGTTGAACTTAACTCTCCGGCGATCGGTAGCCAAACTAGAGGGTCCGATGACCCCACTCCAAGCAGCAAGAATGTTCACACCAGGAGCCACCATATCAGGTTTCAGAATCTCAAGGGTAAGAAGATTGGGCCCCCTTGATGAAAATGCTGCCACAACAGGAGATGGCCTAATCCCCAATCTTGTGCCAAGAAAGTGAAGACTTGCAGTGGCTTTCTTGCTAGTCAAGACATAATGCTTCAGCTCCTTGCCTTCTTTCTCTCCAATAGCAAGTGCAGGAAGGAGGTGACAATCTGCAACAAGTTCTTCTCCATTAGTTGCAGTATTTGTAAGAATCATTCCTACCCCTCCTGCTTTTTTCACCACCTGACCCTTCTGAACTCTAGGACTAATTCCTCTGTCACAAATCACAATTTTCCCTCTAACCTGTTTGGGATCTAAGGTTCCTTCCAAACACAAAGATCTAGGGTCAAGGCTGCTTGAGTTACTGCTTCCCATGTAAACCAAAGGGTATTGTTTCTTAGAGGAAAGCATTTTTCTTTCTCTGTAGAGTGATACTCCAGTCATTCTTCTTCCATTTCCAAGCTTCACTTTAGCAGGGAAATCTCTATCCATTGTGCTTGCTCCAACCGTAGCGATCCAAGGAGACACATTTGCGAGACTAATAGGGTCAGGCCCTGCATTTCCTGCAGAGCAAGAAACAAAAACACCCATCTCCATAGCCCCAAATGCAGCAACAGATAAACTATCACGGTAATAAGAGGAAACTCCACCACCCAAAGAAATTGACAAAACATTAACCCCATCAGCTACAGCCTTATCAACAGCAGATAGAATATCTGAACTAAAACACCCACCAACCCAACACACTTTATAAGCAGCAATTCTAGCTCCCGGTGCCATCCCCCTCGCTGTGCCATAAGCATAGCCCAAGAGATTAGCCCCATGAACTGGAGACCCAGCAACTGTAGCCGCAGTGTGGGTCCCATGGCCATCTTGGTCTCTAGGAGATTTGAACTCGCTTTGCTCGTTGATTTTACCCATTGCAGCTTCATAGCCGTGGTAGAACGCTCTCGCACCCACAATTTTTCTGTTACAGTGACGCTTTGTGAATCCTCGTCCAGTTTCGCAGCTTCCTTTCCAGTGAGAAGGTACGGGTCTCATACCCGTGTCGTTGAAGCTCTCACTCTCTGGCCAAATCCCTGTGTCTAAGACCCCAATAACGACGTCATGGTCAGCCGTCGTCTGCGACCAAAGGTTCGTGCTTTGTGCTGGTTCGAGCCCTAAGAACGTGGGGCTTCGTGTGGTGTGAAGCTCATACTTAGTTTCTGGGAAAATGGCGAGAACCCCATCGTCTTCCTCTAGCCTCTCAGCTTCCTCTTCGCTTAGTTTAGCCGCGACGCCATGGAATGCAGCTTGGTAGCTGTAGATTATTCTCTCTTGCTCCTCATTTTCAGCTTCAAGGGACTTACTCAGTACTGATTTCACCTTTGAGGAATACCATTCGAGGTGGTTGGAAAAGGCTCGAGGCATTGCGGACTTATCCATTTGGATTATGTAAGTTTTCTTGGAAATCTGAGCATGTGAAGGGAAGGCCAGGGTGAAGAGAATGTAGGTGATTAGAAGGAAGCCCATCTTGGTAATGGGGGTGTCGGCCATTGTTGAGGCCAGAGAGAAATGCGAGCTTCAGAACAAGATGAGGTGTAGGAAATCGAAGAGGGAGGGTATTAAAGAGGAGGAGGGAGGGTGGCGTTTAGATTGATTATAGAGTGTAAAGAGAAGTGAATAATTAAAGGAAGGTGGTTGTGTCGTGAATGGCCGAAGTTAAAATGGAGGGTCAAACAAGCAATGCAGTGACTGGTGGTGGGAGGGAGTTAATATGCATATGGTTATCTGACAACTACCACCATCTATTCCATCTCTGTCTTCATTCGAAGTTGAGATGGGTGGTAATTGTTGTACTTTTTTCAGTCCCGCAACAGATTATTGTTTTTTAAGGTTGTTTAGTCCATATCAAAATTAATACGCTTAATGCAGTACTCAAATAGTAGTATGAAATAGTAATACTGTTAAATATTACAATTTTTAATTATTTATTTCATAAGATATCTTCTTTCCTCATTATTTAATAGTACATATTAACATACAACCAACTACTAGTCCCCCCCCGGGGTCATTCTTAACTTTTTTTGGCTGAATCATTCATAATTCAAGTAATATGATTCGTTTATGTATGCTCTCACTTTTACAAGTTATTTGAATAGCATATGTCTCATATTTTTTGTATAGTATATGATAACTTTATAAGTTTATTCTTATTTATTTACGTGACATGTATGTCACATCTCACGGGGAATTTTATTTATTTTAATTAATATCAATTCTTTATTTAAATAATATAATTTTCCTCCTTTTCTTAGCCATGAGGACACACATAGACAGTACACATATTAATAAGGAAAGAGGCTTACTTCAGGCTAACGAGCATAGTAGAAGTTAGCAAGTCATGATGGACAATAATAGTAAAATGGAATGAAGGAATAAAGAAATGAATATGACAATTACATTGGGTATCATAATGTTTCATTTAGGTCCCAATGAGTAGCCATATTGAGTTATTGGGGACTTACCCAAATGAAGGACGGTTATGGGGGGAAAAACATTATTGAGATTACGGTTGCCCTCAACAACAAAATCAACCACAGTAGATAAACTATTACGTCTGATTCTTAATATAAAAACTAGTTGACTAATTTGATTAGATTAAAGAAATTAATTAGTTAAATTAGTTATTTGTGATAAATAGGTGTTGTTTTTTTCTAAAATATCCTTGCTAATAAAGTATATTGGCTATAATTACTATCATTAAAAAGACCATATTGAAAAAAAATGGATCAATATGAAAGACAAAGTGGATTGTGTTCTTATATTTAGAACCAAAATAAAAATTAAACAAACTAGTATATTGTTATGTTTATATTTAAATAGTTTCATTATCAATGGTACAATTACAAAACTACCGTGTGGATTTTATGTATTGTGCAAAGTTTGAAAGATAAATTATATTGCTCTTCACTTATAAATGGCTGGATTTGCTACTTATTTTATATTGATATTGATATTATTCATGAGAGACACAAGTCGAACGAAGAACATAATATTAACGGTGCGGTGTTTCGTGCTTCTTGTTATAAATATAAAAACTAATTTATAATATAATTTACACTGCAAACTAGTTGTAATATTTAAAACAGGAGGTAATGTTATAAACCCTAAATATCCTGCACTATCACCTGCAAGGAGGTGCAAGATGTCATTAGATTCTTCATTTCCATGTTATAACTAACATGGGAACTTCCAATGATTCAACTCTGGATGAATCATTAACAGACATCATCATTTTCTTGATAGTCTCAACAAATATATTATTCACACTTACATTCATCAACAAAAGCAAAGGCCGTCACATTCTTTCACATATTAATAATATTATTATTAACGAAAGACTGACTACAAAAGAGATATCGTACGCACTGACTCATATTATGGCATTTTCAATTCTCAAAGAAAACTAAAAGAAAAAGAAGGTAAAAAAAGTTCAGGAGTCGGAGGAAAACTTCAAAGATTCTTTTACGAGGGGACTCTACCTGTATGTTATTCAAAAAACATTTACCAATCAGAGTTCAATTGCGAGTACTAAATTGAAGTGTAAGACAACACTTAGTAATATTATTTTTCGGTACTCCATAATGTTAATTTTTCACTTACATTTATCACTCTAATGTTTGAAGCCTCAGTTAAGTTTTCGAATAAACGAGTAGCCCAGTTTTATAATTCTAGTGAACGATTCGTTCTGCTCCTCTCTTCTGAATGTTTAATTTCTTTTTTTTTTTTAATAATTGAAGAAGAATATAAATGTACTGTTCATTGTCAGTGAGTTGCTCCCACATGGAGTAGAACTGTAGAAGCGAATACTTAAAAGAAAAAAAATGTGCAAACGGAAACAAAAAAGAAGATTCCGTTTTAGTTCACAAATGAAAAATTAAATCTCCTAACGATACCAAATCCAAATTGACATAAGCTAAACTGTCTGGTTCTTGTTTTGCCAAAATTACTTCGTACAAGAGATAAAGTATCCTTGTTCATATTTATCCAAATAAATGAGTATGATGTCCACTAAGACGAGGAGCTTTTTAGTGGTAGACCTGTAAAGGCAAGATAAAGATATATCTTGAGGAACACTTATAATCTTGTTTAAACTTTCGAATCATTAGATTAAATGAAACTGAATTATATCATCTTTACGAAGTGGCGCCCTTTCAGATCAAAAAAAAAAAAGTGGCGCCCATTTTAATTTGATCCACCAAAATAAATGGAAATTATTGATGATCGATGCTTTCTGTACTGAACTTAAGAGGTTAGATACTTTTGCCCGCATAGGCACATGTTATTAATGACCCTAGTCACAATCATATCAAAGGAAATGTTACATCTTGTTTGATTTTTCCCTTTTCACAACACTTAAATCTTTTCTTTTGCCCTGATAATAACATTTTCATTTTATGATAATTCTCTTCCCTTAAATATAGTGCATGATTATATTCATTTTCAAAATCCCGTGTCACTTCCTATCATCTTATTTTGAACTGTTAAGTACCTAAATTAAAATTTTATCTATTTCGAATTCTTTATGAGGATTTTCTCAAAGATGATTCTTTTTCATCATACGACAATTGGAGTATTCAATAACAAACACTTTTTTAAATTTGAAAAAAAATAAAATGAGATATTCAAAAAGGAAAAAAAGGGGAAAATTGGGGGATAAATCCCTTGTTACAAATTTAATTGGCAAATGACTCATAGAATGATTGATTACATACAAAAAGATTAGTTACACATAAAAAAAAGTAAGTTGCATAAAAAAAATTGAATTGCACAGCCCACAAAGAAATATTACTGCATACAAAGAAAGATAAATTATATATAAAAAAAGTTAAGTTGTACACAATAAAAACTAAGTTACATAAAATTTTTAAGTCTTATTTATCAATTAAATTTTTAATAAGAAATTTATTCTAATTTTCTCAATAAAAAAAAACCCTCAGATTTGCAATGCGATCGAGGAGCTTGTCATAAAGGCGTTGGTGGGTTTGGAAATTTGCCATGGAAGGGAGGGCAATTTCGTGAAGGAACATGCTTGACAATAATTTAAGCTTTCCGAAGAAAAAGGCATATTTTTCTGTGCATCTTTAGAAAATATTACTCTAATCTGTAATATAAAAATTAATTAACTAATTTGAATAGATCAAAAAAATTAAGTTAATTATTTGTAATAAATAGGTATTATTTTTTTAAAATATTTTTACTAATCAAATTTATTGGTTTAAACCATCATCATTACAAAAATTATCTTAAAAAATTAAATAAATATAAGACATAAGATAAATTAAAATTTTTATATTTAAGATCAAAATAAAAATTAAACCAGCTTTCCTACTAATGACAAGAAGTAGTAATTTGAGTGGCTTTCATTTTTAGGGAAAGAGAAATAAATGGAAATTTACGAAAAGAGGACTGAGGGAACAAAAGCTATTTGGATGTGAAAAGAGGAAACAGTTGGTGGCATTTAATCGGGTCATAAAGACGCCTCAGCAAATCAAATGGTGTGGATCCAAACATTTATGATCCGCATTCATGCCTCCTTCACTATTGAAAGCTACTTGCCCCTTCAACCTCTTTAATTTATGTCGCATCTCCCTCTTTCTCTTCTTAAATAATTTATGTCTCATACTTCCCTTTTCATGATAAGATATTTTTAAGAAAATAAAAGTTTATTGGTGGCATTATTTCAAAGATAAATAAATTTGAGTTAAAGGTTGGAAAAAATATTTGAGTTAAAGGGCCCAAAAAATGTCATCCATTTTAAAAGGAGAAAACTAATATGCAGCTCGTTGTAGTTTTATCCCATTTCCCTTTTTAAAAAAGAACATCAGTTTCTTGAGGGATTAAAATGGCACTAGTTCTGATTCCTGGCATAGGAATTAATGTCAATAGTTCCAATTCTTAATATAAAAATTAATTTGACATTTAATTTAATTATAAATATAATATTTCGATCCATTTTACTTTTCATATTTATCTTTTTTTTCTCTAAAATAGTCTTTGTAGTAGTTACAGATGTTAAATATTTTATCAAATGGTATTCTAGCTTATACACATTATTAACAATAGTATTTAAAAATAATAATATTTATTTATTATAAATAACTAATTTAAATAGTTTTTTAATCTATTTAAATTAGTTAACTAGTCTTTCACTCAGAAATTAGACCAGAGGCTTTGCACACCCATGAAATTGGGTTGGATCACTTGATCCATGGGTCTTTGTGGGCTTCTTTTCAAAACGCTGGTTTAGCTGGGAAGTTGAAGTTAGGACCCATTCCACACGGCCCAGAACAGATAAGTCCAAAACTCTCATTATTATTTAAATAATTCAACCAAGAAAATCCTTTAAATAATAAAATGTGCGTATAAAAAACAAAACAAAAAATTATATGGACATTTCTTTTTTACTCCCTTCATAATTTTTTTCAAGATACATATTTTCTGATATATGTTCAGACTCTTTTACATAATACATGTCGTGATTTATGTCATGCTTTTAAAACGCTTCAAATATGTAATTTTCGTAGTTGAAGTAAAATGCCCTCCCACAATTTGTTTTTGATCGGGGCCCTCCCACAATTTACCCCCCAAAAATACCCTCGCACGTATAATGGGAATCTGTGTGTGAGAGAGACGTAAGTTTGAGATACATAAATGCACATAATAAAATAATTAGGCATAAATAACTTTATGTTCGATCTTTAATATAAGAGCTAGTTTAACATTTGATTTGATCTTAAATATAAAACTATAATTTATTTGGTCTCTCATATTTATCTATATTTTCTAAAGTAGTCATTACAGTAATTGTACATGTTAAATATTCGATCAAATGATAGTTATAGTCAATATACATGATTAGCAACGATATTATGAGAAAAGTAACACATATTTATTATGAATAATTAACTAAATAAATTTTTCAATCTACTTAGATTAGTCAACTAACTTTTATATTAACAAGTCCAGATAGTGTATGTTACTATTTAGAAAATAGTTCTTTTCCTCAGTGGTAGACGACTGACCCCATGTTTTTTCAGATAAACTAATTACTGTGGCTTATGTATGGACTCTGAAAACAGTAGCTGTTCTCTTCTACAAAAGAGACTTTTCGGGAGGCATAAACAAAGTAGGCAAAACGTGAAATTTCAGGTTTAATTTACGCCGAAATTCCATTTTTCTTTCAATTTATAATGAGACCACAATCCCAACAGAAATTTACTTTAATGTTGTAAACTCCTCAAGAAAAAATACACCCTTCAATGTCAGTGGACATGTCCAATCAAATAAAAAAATTCAGTTTTTAATTTCTCATAGAACTGTGCTTACATGACCACATCCTACATTTCACGGAAAAATTGAAAAGTGAAAACCAAGCAATTCATAAAATAAAACCCTTTTTGGAGTCCTCGTGAGACTGAACTCATAGCAGAAAACCAAATGAACCCGTGAGTGAAAACAGTGTGTGGGCAGCATGATGACAAATTAGATCACAAGTGAAAAACCCCAGAAAATGAGAATCAAATTATGCGGCTGATCCCCACTTCTTTAGTTTGCTTTCTTCCATTGTGTCTTCAAGAATCTTTCTTTTCCCTCCTTGGTCCTCCACTCACCACCAAAAACCATTACCCCCAAAAGTAAAAAATTTACCTTTCACATACTCGTAACAGTCACATCGTATAAATTAACTCTTAAGCTTTGTTTCAATCACATGATTTAGTCCTTCATTGAGACAATCATTGATCAAGTGAACTTTCCGTCACCAAACACACACACAGAAAGGGGGGGGGGGGAAGGAGACCACCGAAGAAGAAAGCTGAAGCATCATGGGAAGGCTATGGTTCTGCTGTTTCCTTCTCACACTGCTTCATCTCTCCGATCTCAGCATTTGTAAGCGTGGGCAAGTTGTAACCCCGCCATTACCGATTCTTCCCCTTCCCACATATTCGCAGCTAAAATGGCAACAGAGAGAAATCATAATGTTCCTCCATTTCGGCGTCAACACCTTCACTGACAGAGAATGGGGGAACGGTCGTGAAAACCCACAGTTGTTCAACCCTTCCGATCTCAACGCCGGCCAGTGGGCCGCCGTGGCCGCAGACGCCGGAGTGTCGCTGATGATACTAACTGCGAAACACCATGATGGGTTTTGCCTGTGGCCTTCAAAGTACACAGAGCATTCGGTGGTGAGAAGTCCATGGAAAGAAGGAAAAGGCGATGTTGTGCAGGAGTTTGTGAATGCAGCTTCAGCGAAAGGCATAGATGTGGGGCTTTATCTTTCTCCTTGGGATCGACATGACAGAAGATATGGAAATGATTTGAATTACAACGAATACTACTTGGCTCAGCTCCAAGAGCTGCTCAATAAGTGAGCTCCTTCCCTTATTCTATGCTCTCATTCTTCTTCTTTCCCTATCTTCACCCTGCAACCACGGTTCTTAATTAGCTAAGCTTCATTAAAAGCCTGGTCCCAGTGCAGAGAGAGAGAGAGAGAGAGAGAGAGAGAGAGAGAGAAATCCGTGATACAAGAAAATTGGATTGATCATATCTAAGGTTTTTGCCCAAATCATTTATGTGCATTATGTTATTGTCAGATATGGAGGAGTGAGGGAGATATGGTTCGATGGAGCGAAGGATCCAAAGTCAAAGAATGTGACATATTACTTCACAGAGTGGTTCTCAATGGTGAGAGAGTTGCAGAGCTCCATTAACATATTCTCTGATGCAGGTCCTGATGTTAGGTGGGTGGGTAATGAGAAAGGCTATGCCGGACAAACCTGTTGGTCTCTCATTAACAGAAACTCTCTCTCCATTGGCAACCCTAACATCGCTCGGTAAGTCCCACTCTCATTTCCCACTGTAACTTCACATGCTTTAATTTACTTCTCAGATATCAGTCCACCTTTGTCCCCACAACTCTATAGTGCTCTCCCATGTGAATTTAATACTACTCTACTTTCAGTTTGGTGCCTTTTTTTTTCTTGCTTTACCTAAACAAAGTGCACTAGCATTTTGGTGTAAGTTGTTCCTAACTTGCTCCTAAGTGATTCATCAGTTTCTGCATTAATTCTTTGGAAAGATATTTCCGGATGAATAAATAGTGGTGGGGCACTAAGCATTGAATTAAGTCTAGAAGGAGAAAGAAAAATCATACCTTTCAACTGTCGAAAGGAAAAAGGTTTAGTGGAGTTTTCGGCTTTGGTTGTCATTTATCTGTATTTCATATTGTAGGGTAACCTAGCATGTGATCTGATAAAGGTTAGTGGCTTGATTTTGTTTGTTTCACCTACTCTAATAATTAAGTTTTTTTTTTAACCTGAGATTAATAATTAAGGACTTAAGGTACATGCTTTGACAGTTTAACTTGTATTTAAAATAAACACAAAACTTAATTATGTACTGTGAAAACTGAAAACTCATAGTCAGATGGGGGAACGATTACTTTTGTGCTTCAGAACAACATCATGGATGCCTCTCAAATAAGTTTGAACTGTTTTAAGTTATGACATGAATTTATTACTGTCCACATGCCACTGAGATACCTAGATCATCATATTTTTAATTTTTCTGAAACTACCTATATTTTTATTTATTTATATTTTTTTGAATGTTCCAGGATACACTCATATACTTGAGTGGTTTGTTTCGCCTGCTTTGAGAAATTTAGGAACATTGTTTTGCATTTTGAAATAAACATTAAAAAAAAACTTGATAAGAACCCATTACCGACAATAGGTCTGGGAGACGAGTGATTAGATGAGACCGAAATCAGATATTGGTATTGATATGTCGGTAAGATAACTCATCATCGGCCTGAATTTTGCTGAAACCACAAATTTTATATTTATTTTTAAAACTCATACAAATAATTTACACATTGGGTTGGGCCGGACCCATAGCATGACGTAGCTGGGCCTGGCCTGTTAATAAACCGGAAATCGGATTTATTACTTTTCTTGCTGTGCAAGTTTTCGATCGTCTTCTTACGTGTGTTGATCATGAACGCAGCTATCTGAGCATCGGAGACCCGAAGGGAAGAGATTGGATACCAGCAGAATGCGATGTATCAATCAGAAAAGGATGGTTTTGGCACAAATCAGAATCGCCAAAACGACTCAGTGAGCTCCTTGATATCTACTACAACTCAGTTGGAAGAAACTGTGTCTTACTTATCAATGTGCCTCCTAACACAAATGGCCTCATCTCCGACAACGATGCTCGCAGATTAAAAGAGCTTCGAGCTGCCATTAACACAATCTTTCACAACAATTTGGCTCAAAACTCCGACGTTAAAGTTAGCAGCCAAAGAGGGGGAAAAGACGGTGGTTTTGGCCCAGAAAACATGTTTGATTCTGACCACTTGTGGTCGTACTGGGCTCCAATTGATGAACAGGAGATAAAGGAACATTGGATTGAGATTCGTGGGAGATTGAGATTCAATGTGGTTAGGATACAGGAAGCAATAGGACTTGGTCAGAGGGTCCAACGGCATGAAATCTATGTGGATGGTAAGTTGATGATCCAAGGGACGACGGTGGGTTATAAGAGGCTTCATAGGGTTGATGGGGGTGAGGTTGAAGCTAATGTTGTGAGGATCAGAATCACAAAGTCAAGGGGATTGCCCCTCATTTCTTCTGTTGGCCTCCATTTTGATCCTTTTTGGCACTCTAGATTTGATATATCTTGAAAATTCAACTACTAATGTTGAGAAATAAGAGCTGGGTGATTAAAAAAGCTGGGTTCAAACAATTTTGAAGTATGACCATCAATCTGTTAACTGCTTGCTTTTTGCAGTTTGGTGCCATATGCTCATATTATGCCTGCTGATTCTGAAAGTATTCCGATATGATTATAGATGACTGTTTATTTTGATGCTTAATTACTGAATTTTGCTGTTGGGTTTAATTATTTGTTGTCACTGACATACTTAATAAAAATAGAAGTAATCCCGTGTTGGTCCCTGAAACTGAAATGATATGTGGTCAACCTCAGAACAGTTGGCGTCTGCATAATGAAATTAAACAACTTATGTCTGATAAAATTTGTTCAGCTCTTTCATTGAGTTCAAACTTCAAAGTTTTTTGAATCTAGATCATCTTATGAAATGACTTCTTCCCCGAGCCAGTATTTTCAGCCAAGTAAGCAAACTTGAAAACATTATTGTGATCATTATTGATCAGGTCCTGCCGACAGACATTTAATGTATAAAAAGGACAAAACAGAATGTCATCCTGGCAATCATCAATCTTATTTAAATATAGATACTTTCTCTTTATACCTATTTATAGGAAATAAATAATTAGTTTACATAAATTAAGAAGACCAGTTAGTTATAACTAAATTAGACATCTAATTTTCTTCTGTAAAACTTCTTCATCAAAATTATTCAGCATATAATGATGGTTTAGTTGACTAATTTTATTAAATCAAAAAAAAGTAAAGGTTGGTTTTTTTTCATAATAAGATAAGAAAAACTCTGGTTTATAACTCTATTTATAAAGGACTCCCAGTGGTTAGACAAATATATTAATGAGACTCGAATTGAAGCAGAACAGGTGTCCGCGCATATTAATACAATGGAAAGCATGATTTAGTTTCTTGTTTCATTCGGACTTGTGCACCGAGTCAATGACTCTGAGTCATTCTCTTGGGCCCTCCTTCTAATTGTCGTCATCTTATTTTCTTATCCAGCCGACGGGATTATATGTTCAGTTGCATTGATGACAAGAAAAAAAATTATTAATAAAATAAAAATTCCGACAGTTTAAATATACTAAGTAATTACTCAACACGTGTCAGATATATTACACGTGGCTCCAATATTTAGATGCCACACTCATGCAAAGGTGGCAAGCCACAAGGTAACTGCCCTTTCTATAAACCACAAGCTTCTCGTCTTTGTTTCTCCAATCTTTTCATACCTCTGTTCCGTTCCTTGGATTACTCTGTTTCTTTTCAGTTATGGATTCTGGAGTCGTTCAAAGTCGTGTGCACGAGTCCGATGAACATCATCCTCACAACGTTGGAATGAAACAAGGTAGTAAGTAAGAACCTTACTATATTTCACCTTCGTTTGTGTTCTTCTCTTATGGCTTCTTTCTTGTTCTTAATTTTTCTTGTGAAGGGAACCATTATGGGGCGGACGAACACCACCATGACCATGAGAAGAAGTCGGTTCTGAAGAAGGTGAAAGCGAAGGCTAAGAAAATTAAGGACACGATCAAGAAGCATGCACATCATGACCATGATCACGATCACGATCACGATCACGAGCATCGCGATATCCCGGATGATCATGATCTCGAGGAGGAAGATGATGAAGATGAAGACATGGCTGAAAATAATCCTGAAGTTCATGGAGCCCCAAGTGAGTCTTTCTTCTCTGAATTTAAGAAATAAAATCCAGATAATGATAACTTTTAGCCTGTTGCTCTGTTTTTCTTTCTCTGACTATTAATGAAATAAAATGCTAGTCTTTGTCCCTTTTGAAACGCACAATAGGCTTAAGTTCTAGAAATTTTTCTCAGAAAGTGAAATTTATTGACCATAATGAAAGTGACAATCTGGATCATGCGTGGAATTTGGCGCGCAGTTTACGATAGTACAGTCCCTAAAACTGTGATTACCGGCGAACAAGTTCATCATCAAGATCCAAAGGTTGTAGTTGTTTCGCCGGGTATGGGAACCGATCAAACAGTGGCAAATGATTCAGCAACAAGAACATTTGCTGGAGAAGAAGGGAACGCAGGACGGCGAAAGGTCAATTTGCAGAGACCTATTGACTTGGAGGAAGATCCTGCCGCTCCTGGAACAACACGTCAGCCTCATACATCTTCCAATTATCAAAGCAAAGTCACTGATCCAACTGGGGCAGGTATAAAAAGACAAGTTAATGCATCGTACACTTCGGCTATTAATGCTATTAGCACCTATTAAGGTCACCTATTTATGCCCTTTTCTTTTCTTCTTCTCTTTTGGTGGTATTGCTAACAGGTGGTGCAGAAATACAAGTTACCCCAGTTCTGAAATCTTTTGCCGAAATGAATGTCCATGACGGGACAAAACCCCATGCTCGTTCTACTGCAACTCAAAATGCTTCTGGCACTCCTATAATGCATGAAGAACAGAAACACTACGAATCAGTGGGCAAACCAGCAAACCAGAGCGGCTATACGGCAACTCAATATCCTTCTGGTGCTCCTATAATGCGAGCAGAACAGAAACAATACGAATCGTTGGACGAACCAACGAACCAGAGCAGCTATGCGGCAACTCAATATTCTTCTGGTGCTGCTCCTATAATGCATGAAGAACATAAACATTATGAATCGCTGGAGAAACCATCGAACCAGAGCAGCTACACTCCAACTCAATATCCTTCTGGAACTTCTGAAATGCATGTAGATCAGAAACGCTATGAAACACTGGACCAACCATTGAATCAGAGCAGCTATACCGCAACTCAATATGGTTCTGGTACTCCTTTAATGCATGAAGAGCACAAACACCATGAATCAGTGGGCAAACCATCAAGTCAGAGCAGCTATACTTCATCTCAATATCCTTCTGGAACTTCTGAAATGCATGTGGATCAGAAACGCTATGAATCACTGGACCAACCATCGAATCAGAACAGCAATACCGCAACCCAATATCCTTCTGGTACTCCTCTAATGCATGGAAAGCACGAACACTATGAATCAGTGGGCAAACCATCGAGCCAGAGCAGCTATACTGCATCTCAATATCCTTCTGGCACTTCTGAAATGCATGTAGATCAGAAACGCTATGAATCACTGGACCAACCATCGAATCAGAGCAGCAATACCGCAACTCAATATCCTTCTGGTACTCCTCTAATGCATGGAGAGCACAAATACCATGAATCAGTGAGCAAACCATCGAGCCAGAGCAGCAATACTGCATCTCAATATCCTTCTGGCACTTCTGAAATGCATGTAGATCAGGAACGCTCTGAATCAGGGGAGAAACCATCGAACCAGAGCAGCTATACCGACAAGATCTCATCTGCTACCTCTGCAATTGCTGATAAAGCTGTCGCTGCTAAAAACGCCGTCGCTTCCACGCTCGGCTACGATGACAACAAAGATAACAGAGACCATGAGAACGAATCGAGGAGTGGAGAGAATCAAAGCAGCTACACAGACAAAATCTCATATGCAACATCTGCTATGGCTGATAAAGCTGCTGCTGCTAAAAATGCTGTGACTTCGAAGCTCGGCTATGATGACAACAACAAAGTTGACAGAGATAACGAGAAGGAAACGAGGCATGGAGAGAATCAGAGTAGTTACACAGCGAAAATATCATCTGCGACATCTGCAATAGCTGATAAAGCTGTTTCTGCTAAAAATGCCTTGACTTCGAAGCTCGGCTATGATGATAAGAAGGTTGACAGAGATAATGAGAAGGAAACGAGGCATGGGGAGAATCAAAGTAGTTACACGGAGAAAATATCATCTGCAACATCTGCAATAGCCGATAAAGCTGTTTCTGCCAAAAATGCTGTGACCTCCAAGCTAGGTTACGGCAGTGGTGTTGGTGACAATGCGAAAACAACTCATGAAGATTATCATAAAACTGAGGATGCTAATGCTTCAGGCGTGTCGGGGGCATCAACAGCGGAATATGGGAAGAAAATTACAGAGTCCCTGACCGAGAAACTGTCTCCAGTTTATGGCAAAGTTGCTGGAGTAGGGAGTGCAGTGAAGTCCAAATTGTCACCTTCTACAAATGAGGGAGACAAAGGGGTCTCTGTGAAGGAATATTTTGCAGAGAAGCTAAGGCCAGGGGATGAAGACAGGGCTCTTTCTGAGGTGATTTCAGAGGCTTTAAACAAGCGTGGAGGAGAGGCAGCAACGAAGGAGCATGGCGATCAAGGGGGGAGGAGAATGACTGATGTGATTTCTGATGTTATACATGAGAGGGATGAAGGGGTAGCTGAAGCAGAGCATCGACCTCTGGGGAAAGTGACAGAGTCTGATGAAGTGAAGAGAAGGTTGGGGAGCGGGGATGATAGTGAAAGAAGGTATCAGGAGAGTTATGAGAACAGCTCTGGCAAAGGCGTGGTTGATAAGCTGAAAGATGCGGCTGGGTCCTGGTTTGGCAAATCACAAGAGAATCAATCATCACAAGGTAAGCAAATTTTCATGATGTTCTAATGTGATACGGCACACTTGTTAGTTTTTATAATGTGATGGTTCTTTTTCTGTACTTCTTTTAGTAGTCTTTGGTTGGACAAGTGCTTGTAGGTTTAGATCAAGTTTAGGAAAATTAAGTCATAATTTTGGGCTAATCAAATTTTGTAAACAGATAACTGTAGTGTGGATATGAAATGCTGAGTTTCCTATTTAAACTCTGGTGCAGATACAGGGAGAGTTGAGAAAAGTGAGAGAAGGCTTCAGGAATCATCCAACTGAAGAAATATTGATTCAATACGTTCTCTCAGAGAAGCTTCTCCATCCACCAAGGACCTTCATACACATATATATAGTCTGCGTAACATATATATAGTCTGCACATGCCTGTACACTTGGTTGATGTAATAGTTTGTTTCCTGCTTTCCTACTCTAGGAGCTTTATAAATATCTATAAGATCATGTATAATTAAGAACCTCTTTCTTTTCTCTTCTGTTTGTGGATATATATGTGTATCTCTGGGTGTTAAATAGCAGGATGTCATTTTCCTTTTCTTATGTATCTCAGATTAGTTAGTACTGTGGTTTGTGCAATCCTCATGGTAGTCACTGTTATAGAGTTTAAAAGCTATGGGCGAGGAGAGTAATGAATAACATGACAGGATATTCTAATGATGGATTGTGTTTAACTTCAATGAAAGTAGAAGCGAGTGCTCTGAATTAGCATGACATGTAGTTTTTGGAGACTACCTGCAGGCTTTTGTGGAAACAAAACAAGCAAATAGGAGGCTGTTCAACACAACAGAAAGGGGTAAATGGTTTCTCTCGTCACTTAATTCTTAGGCCTTTTGCCTCATGAATACTGGATCCGAGGGCGGTTTTTCAACTTATGTTCGTTCATACCCGACGATACGATATCACATTGCAAGTCATTCATTACTTTTGTTTTGGGACCTCGAGAAATTGAGAATTATCGACCGTATCTCGCAATACGATACGATATTATGTTCCTTGATCTTTATTCTGTTGAATTTTTGGGTTCAATCTACTATATGTGCAGCTGGGTTCCCAACTGCATGGACATTCCTCATTTTTCTAGCACTATGGATTTGAAGCTTCCAGTGCAAAGAAAGTCCATTCTGTATCTGGGTAAATTGTATTTGCTGCTTATCTGTGGGTTGCAGAGATGATGGGTTTTGACGATGATATTTATAACTGTAGTAGGTCTAAGGTTGGTCCAAAAGTTTTCCTATCACTTGAATTTTTTTCGAAAGTTATGTGACCATTAGCATCAGGGTGATTGGATGCGTTGAGGAACCTTTGAAGAAGATGTGGAAACCTTCTGATATTGATTCTATAAGGGATGAGAGTTTCAATCCATGTGAGGAGGAGAACCAAACGCATTTTTCGCTTAGACAGGGGTTCATTGAAAATGCAAGGATAGATGCTAGAAAGGTTCTTGAAATTCAAAGCTTGATGCCAGATTAGTTTTGCATAAGTTGCATATAACACCGTCGGGGCTTCTTTTGAGAGAAGTTCTCCTTGGAATTTTGGAAAGTATTAATTGTAAAAATAAGTCCAAGTGTGCAAAATCGGCATATAAATTTTTCGTATGGTGTAGTCAGCATGAGGCATACGGACACAGCACTAACTCGTATCACTTAATTTTCGAGATATTTGCAGAGTGTGATAAATTTAAAACAATGTCGAGGCTAGTTGATGAGATGATTGACAAAGGGATTCCTGCAACCGCTCGTACTTTCAACATTCTAACTTGCAGTTGTGGTGAGGTAGGCTTGCCTAGGAGACTGGTGGAGAGGTTTATAAAATCAAAGACATTTAGCTTTAGGCCTTTAAAGCAGTCCTACAATGCAATTCTCGATGGTCTTCTTGTTCTGAACCATTATAAGTTGATTGAGTAGGTTTATAAACAAATGTTGCTTGAAGGGCTTTCCTCAGACACTTTTACTTGTAATATAGTCATGTATGCCAAGTACAGGCTCCGGAAGTTGGATCAATTCAAGAGGCTGCTTGATGAGATGGGTAGAAATGGCCTTTCTCCGGATTTCCATACTTATAACATTCTTCTTCATATTCTTGGTAAAGGCGACAAGCCACTTGCAGCTCTTAATCTCTTAAATCGCATGAAAGAAATAGGTATAGAGCGAACTGTTCTTCATTTCACCACATGGATAGATGGAGTCAGCAGAGCTGGGAATCTCGCTGCCTGCAAATATTTTTTTGATGAAATGATAAATAATGGGTGCATGCCAGATGTAGTGGCGTGCACAGTAATGATCAGTGGATATGTCATGGCTGGTGATCTTGACAAAGCTCGGGAAATTTTTTAATGAGATGATTTCTAGAGGACAAGTTCCAAATGTGTACACTTACAATTCCATGATTCGGAGGTTATGTATGGCTAGAAAGTTTGACGAAGCACTGTCAGTGCTAAGGGAAATGGAGACAAAAGGTTGTTGTCCGAATTTTTTTGTGTACAGTGCCTTAGTGAGTAATTTGAGGAATGCTGAAAGCCTACTGATGCCCGTAGAGTAATACAAAAGATGCTGAGGAAGGGGAGATATGCCCCTCTAGTTTCCAGGCTTAGAAGGCACCGCCGGAGATAGTGAAATAGAATATTCTCTGGCTGAGGCATTAGCTAACTGCTAACCAGGCATCAACCTGTTGACCTCGCTGATACCATCCATTGCTGCTTGTTTTGTTGGCAACCAGGATCAAGAAATGAAATACTTGATTCTACTCCCTATCTAGTTTATTATTGCAATCCTTATTTATTAGTGACATATGAAAAAGGCCAGTATGCCCGTGTTTTTTCAAAACGTGATGATATTGCTTGTTATTTGCGACATGAGAGTTTCTCTTGTTTCAAGTGTACTATAGCATGATTATTTGTTGGGTTGTTACAAGGTCTATGATCCTATTGCATTAACTTAACTGACAGACATGATAACTAGGGTAAAAAAGAAAAGACGAAGTAGACTGTCATTACCAAAGAAAAAAAAAAAAAACTAGTCTCCAAGGTTAAACCTTGATCTTGACTTGGGCGAGTTTGAATATAAATGTTTGTATTCTTTTTTCTTGTGAAAAGTGTAATGCAACGGTTTCAAGAAGTGGATATTGAATTTATGAATTATGAAGGTTCTTCCATTAACTATGATTTGCTGGGTGTCTTTATGTACTTTGGACAATGGATGGGTATAATAAGTGTGAGGCAATGGATAATGTGATAAAGTGACTAAATCTTTCTTCTCACTCTCAAGTATAGTATCTCAGCTCATGCGCTTCGACATTCCTCTTTTTGCCTTCCTCCCTAATGTCTGTTATTCTGGAGAGGATTATTTTTATTTCTAATGAAGCTATCCTTTTTTGTTTCTGCTTATCTTATGTCCGTGAAGAACCAGTCATAGTCACTACAATTTTCTGGTGGATTTGTCTGTGGCATTGGACAGCAATAGTCTATGGACTTAACAAGGTTTCGAGATCTCTTGGATGGATAAATGGTTTACAGTTTGTCGGTCAAAGGTTCATTGTGAATATTTGAGGACAAAGGTAGTGGCAGACGTCATAGGGTGGGTTTCAGGAGGTGCTGTGATTAGTAATGCATAATTTTGGTTTTTAGATCTAATGGTTCCAGGGTAAATTTAAGAACCAATGAGGTTTTCGAAGGTAGATATTTATAGTTCAGTCTACCAAAGAATTCAGACCTTGACAAATATAAAGCAAAGACAACATATTTGACTATTTGAGATTGTGAAGTAGAAAATCAACCTAGGGCCCGCTTGCATCACGCAACCAAGATAATGTGAGCTTATACTTTAAGCAATGATTCACATTGAACCAGCGACCCGGGGATCCTGTTTCTTAAATGGGGTGGTATCCAGTTTAGTCTGATAATAATTTCTCATATCTGTTGCATTAGTGGTATCTTGGAGATGCATATGGTTAGATCTCCTTAACATGATAATGTTAATTGAAGTAGCTTGATGGGGGCGGTCGCTTCAGAAGTTTATTCCTTTTGAGATTAAAGCGATGAGAATAGCATCACAATAAGTCGCCCGGTTGATTGGGCAATTCTGACCTTCTCTTTTTTAATTACAGCTAGAGTATCCTCAGACTTTGTTCAAGCTACATTCCGTCTTCAGATGATTTTACAGGCATACTCTTTCGCGTTGGATGATGCATTTAAGATTTCATTTCCTACTTTCCAAAGAAATCAATCCCAATATTCTGATATATCTGAAGCTGAAAATCTAAAGTGATTGGTTAGCTCCAAGAGCAATGGACTTGGTAAAATGTTCACTGATGCTTTCTTGACACTTGCTCAAGGTTTTTGGTTTGTTTTTCTTGGCCTAAGAGATGACAGCCCCTAGTCCACTCGAGGTGAAGATTGAAAGCACATCCCCTCTCCACTGTCAGCGTGAAGTTCTTATGGCACATTTTTCAGCTGGATACTTGTGCAGAGTCCAAACCAGTCAAAGTGCCGCAAGCTCATTTTGAACTGTAGCTGTTGCCTGTGCTAGTTTCGACCATTGCCTTGCACAGCAGGTTTTGTAGGTGCTTTTGGTGTTGTGTACAGAATTTTGAAGTGCCAAGATCACATGTCCTTCCATATATAGCTCATGGAATCAAAGACTCAAAGATGCCAGCTTGCCAAGCAGATATTCTATTTTTTCCATTCATTATAGGATGCCATATTCTATTTTATGGAGTGCATGCATTAATTTGTATATTTAATTGATGTTGTTTTGTGATAGGCTAACCTTCATCACTTGTATGCTGAATTTTTAATAATGATGATGATGATGATAAGATGGAACCTAAGATGGACCCATGCTGCTCTAGTAAATTAGTCAAAGGGAAAATGACCAAAAAAAGTTAAAAATTATTAAATTTCAAATCAGATTTGATAACATTTTATTTGGTGCTTGATCTGAATTTGTAAATAACAATAAATTTTTGTTGATATTTTTTATTTAGCATTTAATAATTTTAAACTTTTTTTTGGCATTTTTTCTTAGTTAAATATTTAAATGCTGAAGAAGCTTTTATGCCATTCCCTGTCATGACAAATTTGTGTGTCAGCCACGTGTTGATGCTCTATCTGCATTGAATGCAACCTCTGGAAGCGCTTTGCTACCCTATTTCCTCCTAAAGGGTTTGCTCATACAATTCAAGTTCCATTTTTCTTTGTCTACTACGGGATTGCCATTTTTTTCCCGTAAATTTTTTGGGCCACCTGCCATTTTAGGTGTTTGAGTGTTACAAGCAGGGTCGGCCGTGCTGATAAAATTTCTGAAAATAACATAATTAATCAAGGCAAATTCAGGTATGACCAACGTTTTGTTGCATTACATTGAGAAATTAAACTTCTAGTGATCATATCAACCAAATTCTTTTCCTTCAACACGCGTGAAGTTGTGAGGCGTAAGATTAACAAATCCAAAACGGAAAATTCTATTCATAAACTGACCATTTATAACCTAACCTAACCAAGTGACATGAGCAAAAGGATTAATGAAAGTGCTTAGCTCATCAAACAATCTTGTGTGTCCATGAGTCATCTCTCCCTCTCAACAGAATCATTTGAAGACCACTTTTGTCCCCATTCATTTCTTTTATCACTCCAGGGTTGGATTCCTTGGCCCCTTCTGAACTTTGGTGCCATTCTAGAAAATGACCCACAAACTCAAAAAGGATTTCGTGATGCCCAAATTTTCTTGACCTTCCATACCAACCTCTTTTCTTTTCACAAACATGGCAAAATCCATCGATATTATCAGTGCCAAAAGAGCCAATTGCATAATAAATTATTCCTTATTTCATACGCCACTAATAACTACATTAAATGCAAAATGAAACCCACACAAAATTGTCGACTATCTGAGTTTTTGCACTGCTGATTCTGCCGAACAAGAAGAAAACTGTGACCCTAGATTTTGAAGATAAACCCACAGCAAAAAAGAAAAAAAAAAGAAAGAAAGAAAGAAAAAGCTACGGCAATGCTTTTACCATATAGATAGCCATGGCTTCTGTGCATACGGAAATTATCAGAAAACTTGAAAATTGAAAAGGGGGGAGAATTTGAAGAAGACGACAGACAATATGTAATTATTGTCCTTTTACTTCTTCTCTTCCTTCTTCTCCTCTTTCTTCTCTTCCTTCTTCTCTTCTTTCTTCTCCTCTTTCTTCTCTTCTTTCTTCTCTTCCTTGGCAGGTCCAACGGATAGGATATCAATCTTTCCCACCTTCTTCAGCTTCTTCACTACTGCCACTGTGTCCATTTGGCCTATCACAGTCAGCTTCTGATCCTTAATATCCGCAGCGATCGAATCAACCCCTAATTGATATTAAAAAAAAAAAAATCACCAACCAATAAATCAGATGATTCCTGGGTTAAATTCCATTATTGAACGCAGAAAAATGAGTTCTTGTGTGAAGGGGAAGATGGAATTTCAAGCACCATAGATATCTGCAGCTGCTTCTATTGCTTTCTGCTTCGTCTTATCATCAGTCATAGTCATGACCTTCAACACCACCTTCTGCTACAGATCCAAACACAGAGGCAGAAAGAAGATGAAAAAGAAGGCTAAAGTGAAAAAGTCGAACTTTTCTGAATCATTCAGATAAATCGGATGAGAAAGGAAGAGAAGTACCTGAGCCATTGAAGGAGGAAGAAGAGTTGATGACGAGAGAGAGCAGGAGGCAAAAGAAGAGTTGAAAATTTGTGTGGGATGAAGTGTCTCGAAAGCGTAAGGTTTAAGAAGGAGTGACGTTTATGAGTGCGTGGGAGTGCGAGATTACATCTAAGAGAGGGACCCATTGAATGCCATTTTCTGTCTCGGCCTTTGGGATAGTAGCCGCAGGAATGTTTGACCTTGAAATAGCTTTGCGCTTTTATGGGCCTGAATCTCTTATGGGCTTCCCGATTCTGGCCCATGGCCCATTATAAGGTGAAATTTATAAATAGATATTTTTTATTATCAATGCCAACGGCGCGCATGCATGATCCTAAAATATTTCCTTGTCGAGACAAAAGTAAGTGTGCTTTTGAGTATATTTTATGATTTATAAATTAAGCTTTGTCTTCTTCACAACCTGGCAGCGGCACTGGTTTACATACTCACACGTATATAATATTTTTCCATTACGTAACAATGTCTGTTCTGGAAATGTTTGCAACTATATGTTTTGTCATGCCGTCCCAGAAACCTTTGAAAAACGACATATATATAATATAAAAAATTTAATTAAGTCCACTTGATCTCAATCAAATTTATCATCCTATATAAAACAAAATTATCTCTCAATTGTTTCCCTCATCCGTTTGTATTCCATCTTTAAGAATAAATTAATATATATTATATTCGATTATATTTATAAGACCTCGTTTGTAGATTATAAACGGGGTCTTATAATTAGGACTAGAGGTATTATATGACTATAATACATTGTAATGTTCCTCAAAAGAAAGTATATGATGCTCTTTTTTGTTGCAATAATGCTTTGAGGTACACTAATATATTTTCAATTTAATTATGCTACATTATGTCGGCCATTAAAAAAAATCCATTGAACAAGATAATTTGCAAGAACGTTTATATGTACTCGATCGCTGGTTTTAAATGTCTTAAAAAAATTGTTATTTTAAAGTCCAATACTGTCATTGTATATTTAGCGATCGAGATCGGAAATTAATGGATGATTTGCAGTGTTTTTGTGGTGAAAATTTGATGAGGAGAGTCGACTTCCAAGAGCAATGAGAGAGTATCATTTTGACCACCCTACAGTAACTATTAACTTTGTTGGATTATAATATGACCAGCTACTAGTATTAATTAAATTAAATATAACGTTTAGCTGCTAATTCAAATGTGACTGCTCTTGAGTCTCAATACATATAAAAGCATCCCAATATACCTTCTAGTATTGAATTGTATCGATCGACATCGCTTTTAACGAATATCATCTATTATTTGAATAGAAGAGTGTATTCAAATATATATACATATATATATATCTTTGAAACGTATAATGAGAAATAAGGATTAAATCATACATTGGTACATCACGTATTGTTAATTTCTTCTAAATTATTTAAGATCATTTTATGGGCTCTTGATCTGTCCAATTTGTACTTGTCACTCAGGATCAGAAAAAAGAGATGTAAAGGGAATCTTTAAAGTCCCTACGTTTGCCTGTAAAAGGGAGGATGATTTTGAACATATGGCCACCATATATATATATCATCGTCAGACTCAGATCCAACATTATCATCAGCTGATAAAGTTACAGAAAAAAGCTGGGTTGCCAAACCCCACCTGCTTCCCAAGCTAATTAATAAGCCATTCAAATTCAATTCCATTCATGGCTGGCCCACTCTCGGACGATCTTTTTCAAATTGAAACACAATTCAAAGAAGTTACAGGAGATGGACCAACCGACCAACGTGGTTTAATTTCATACGACATGGTAAAAACTTAGATAATACAATGGCTAGGCTTTACACAAATTAGATAACTTGCTTCTGTAGATCATAGAGAAATAGCTAAGCATTATGAGAAGGATACATTACATGAGGGAGCAGGCGTGAGGGTTTTCGTCGCTGAAGAGGGAAGCAAAGGGTTCATCGGAGGAGGCGGCGACGGAGTAGAGAGAAGGAGTGTGGAAGAAGGTGTGGACGCCATTGGAGGCCTCCGATTTGGAGGAGTCGTTGTAGTAGTGGTTGAGGATGTAGGTGGGGTACTTGTGCAACGACGTCGTAAACTGAGAGAGGGTCCCAGAATAAGGCCATGGCTCTGCAACTTTGCCGGCTCTCTTGATGGCTCTCAACACCTTCCTCTCTAACTCCACTCCATGCCCTCTCGCTGTTACCTTCTGTTCTTCTATCTCGACCTCCACCTCCTCCACTCCTGTGTCCATCATGTTCACATGTCATCATCGCTTTAAATGCTGTCTCTTATTTGTTTATTTCATGTGTATACATAAATTTAAGACATATCTATGTGGCGAACAGTTTACAATAAATTAGGTAAAATAGTGACATTGGAGAATATGAGGCAGCTCAATCTATAAAGCAGGACAGAGACAACACTTTTTGTGCTCCTTTTCAGATCTAGTTCAATTTCACAACCTCGCACCCCCCCCCCCCCAAAAAAATCTTCTAATTATGGTTCTTTTGTCAATCTTTCCATGTTGGATCAGTTTCTACTTTCTTAGTTCATCCAAAAAAATTTTTGGTAGCATAAGTATTTTTCTATTAAAGACAATTCCTTTTGAGACATTGTTAAGTACTAAATGTGAGCATCTTCTTGGGCAGGGATTCAAATTTTCATTCATTATAGAGTAGGTTTTATTTGGGTGCTGGGCAAGGCGTCACTTCCAGTACTTCTCTTCGCCTAATTCTTTCATGGGCTGGGGTTTCTCATTCGATTTTATTGAAGATGAACCTATAATACTACCTTCAGCCTTAATTATAAGATCTAGTTGACTAATTTGAAGAGATTAAGAAAAGAAGTTAAGTTAGTTATTTATAATAAATAGATGTTATCTTTCCAAATATATCCTTGCTAATCAAGTATATTGGTTAGAACTACCATTGTTAGAAGGACTAACTTGAAAAAAAATACATGAATATGATAGATAAAGTGGATTGGGATTTTATATTTGGACCAAAATAAAAGTCAAATAAGGTCTTTTATTAAGGATCGGAGATAGTATAAATCTATAATATTATAAATATATAATATTACCTTTGGTTCTAATTATAAGACTTTATTTGTAGACTGCAAATAAGATCTTATAATTAGAACTGGAGGTAGTATCATCTAACTCATCTCTAGTGTGTTTTTTTAAATAAAATAAAATAAAAGCTAGATCTCGAGTTTCATGCCAAAACATGGAACTCAAGAAGCAAGCTACACTATATTGACAATTTGACGCGGTGATTAGTGCAATTTTGATATAATTTATGTTGCATGTCATCTATTAAATTATTCATTGGTTTTTTTTCCCTTTTGCAGACTTGCTATATTGTCTACGTACAGAAACAAGAAATATATCTGCTAGCATCTACCAGTATCATTATTAACGCTAGTATTGGCCTTTTCTATATACTCTGTTTCTGATGCACCAAGGTTTTTGATGACCTCCCCAAACAAAACAAAAAAACAACATAGATCATTTGGAAAACCAAAGTGAATCTCATCATCATGAACAAGACTGGTAATATATGATGACTCTATTGGAAAGGGGTATTCTTTGTGTGTTGCGCTTTCTAAGCGTGCGTGTTCATTTTAGCACAAGGAAGCCCCACGGCATTCATCAAAAGCAAAAAAAGTTGGAAAGTACCTTTAAGCTTGAAGAGAGCCCTCTTTAACTTGGAGGCACATCCCTCACAGTCCAGATTCGGAACTCTTACCTCTACAGTCTGCATCATCAGATCCCACACTTAACACAACAATACATATCTAAATTATCCATCGATTTCTCTCTTGATGATCATATTTTCCCAAACTAGCTAGCTAGACCACACCATATTTTTTTTTCACATTGTACATACGTGCTTGTGTGTGCATGGAACACAGAGAAAGAAAGAGAAAGAGAATAAGGAATGAAGAACTAAATTACCGTGACCGTCGACATAGTGGGATTAGCTGAGAGAGAGAAGATCCGAAGAAGAAGAAGAATGGAATAATGAGGATAGCAGCGGGAGGAGAAGAATGGAGGTGAAGGGTGGTAACAGTGGTGACCCTTTGGCTTCGATCAAAGTGATATATCTGCTTAAACAAAACCCTCCCAAGCGTCCCTTTATAAAGCCTTGGGTTTTGAACTCCCCCATTCACGCGTGGAAGGACAAAACTGTCACTTACCCTCTTCCCGCTCTCCCCCTCTCCATTATTAATTATCACATATATCCATTCACTCGGGGGAAAAAAAAAGTTACTACACATATCTTATCTATCTATCTCATCTATATCACCCTGATCCTTAATATAAATCACTTGTAACCCATTTTGATATATTAAGAAATATGTCAAATTGATAATATTTTTTATTTTACTCTCATTAAAGTTTTATCTTTACATTTACAAATCATGTTCATATCTCTCCCTTCTTTCTTTCTTTACGATAATAATTAAATAAGGATAAAATTAAAAAGCAAGTATTAAATATATTACAAATAACTTATATCTATGGCCAAAACTTTTTCTTGCAAATGACCTACATTTAGAATCAAATTGGACTATGGTGCGCATGTATGAATATAAATCTTTGTGTATATCTCTGAAACTATTTGAAATTCCGATGAGGGGGCTGTGCTCTGTGTGTGCGGGGAATGATGGAATGCTTCATTAAATGTGAACAATGGAGTCGCTGTCTTTCTCTTTTGTTGTGTTGTTTGGACAGAAATTGAAAGGCTTTATGTCGTTTCAGATTGTGGCTGTAAAATGTTGTGAAGGACCTTTCTTCCACGCTCTATGCGGCTGCGGGTCGGACGTTAATTAGGCAAGTTAATTAACTCGTTTCATCAAATTAAATGATCCTAATTATTCATGCACTTAATTCCCCCAGCACTTTTGTATAGTCTCATAATTAAAGTGTGTCATTCACTTTTCGATTTAGAAAACGAGCTGCTATGATATGATTGTGTCTCAAGTGGGAGTTAACGGAATAAAACTCAATCTCATAAACAAATGAAATATTTTGGTACCTACTACTTATTGATTATGACTAAATCTTTCTTCTAACCATCTTAAACACACATCCTACACACACACACACACACAAAGACACACACACATATAGAGCAGCTTCTGTTTTTAGGGAGAACAAAAATTCTTTGATCCTATGATTTGTTTCGCTCCTCCTCGCATTGAATTAACAGTTAGCTCTGTCTTTTAAGAAGTTCAAGTCGGTTATGAACTATATAAAAGAGTTAATAGTTCTATATATTTATGAATAGTGTGAGTTTTTTATTAGAAATAAATATACGTGGATTAAGTTATTTTCTGAATGGTATAACAAAACATATACTTTAATTTGATTCAGGTGAAAAAGCTAAAGAGGAAAAGGGGTGTGTGGGGATATATGTAGCTGATTTGTGCTACAAAAACTGTGTCCATCCATTGATGATCGGTCAAACCTTTTCAGGGCCATCATTTATTTGCACGCTCCCAACTCATTTTGCTTAATTTTCCCCCTTAATTAATTATACCCAACACATATTGTTTTTTACTTTCTTGATTAATTAAACAGTTTCTTCGATGTGAAACCCTTAACCCAAAAAAAAAAAGGATGCATTTTTCTATTTAAAAACCTGCACACGGCATGAAATATGAAAAATATAAGCTCTAATATTTATAACTTGTGAATAATTTACTTTGCATGAAAGTACTATTCGGCTTTTCAAGTATTTTTGGGAATTTAATTTAGGATATTTATTTTCAGATATAATTAAAAATCAGTTATTGTAAATTAAAATACTTCAGATTGGATAATTAATTAATATAAAAAGTCATATTTTCTAAAGAAAAAACTTCTTTTGGAGTGTAGACAGAGGGATGAGGAAAAAAATTGGGTTAAACAATAATCAAATTCAATCCAAGTAATAAGTATAAAGAAAGAAATTGGAAAAAAGAGAAAGAATCGAGAGAGATGGATGTAAAGGAAGAAGGAAGCACAGTGATGGGAAGGGTGAGGGTGACAGAGATTTTGAGGTAACGCCTCCTTTTATTATTTTCGAAGCTGCCGAAGGCTCACTGTGAGTCACAAATAACTCACGTCCCGTCCCTTTCCCTACCACTTAATTACAACCCCCCCAAATTACATACATACATGTACACGCACAATATAATGTATTTTTGAAATCTAAAAGTAATCAATAACAGAACAGAAAATAAAGGAAATACAATGAATTCTTTTCTTTTCTTTTGAAAAGGAGGGATTATATGATACTTATCTTTCAAAATCAACAGCTGTGTGAAGTGTCATGTCCTTTTTGTGCTCTAATCCTTATTCCTATCCAACTCCAGTTCAACCTTCCTGTTCTTTCAATTATGCCTTCTTGAATCTCGGATTGTGTTTATTTTGTCTACTTTCGTATATTTCATCTCATTTTAACACTGCCTCCAATTCTAAATATAAGAGTTAGTTAACTAATTTGAGTAGATTAAAAAAATAAGTTAACTATTTGTAATAAATAAGTGTTATTTTTCCTAAAACATCTTTGCTAATCAAGTTTATTAGCTATAATTATTATTATTATTAGAAGAGTTATCTTGAAAAAAAAAAGGATAAATATGAGAAACAAAGTGAATTTAGATATTATATGTAGGACCAAAATAAAAGTCAAATGAGATCTTATATTAAAGACTGAAAGTAATATATATATATATATATATATATGTCCGTCTTCATTCTATCTTAATCCTAACTGATAATATTTTTCCACCAATCGCCTTGAGACCCGCTTTTATTCCGCTTGGCCAACTTGTTAGTGCTGGGGTCCTCTTCTTCTGCTTTTCATTTTTCACTCACACTTTGGACTAACCCCCTTCTCGATTCATCCAATCGACCATATAATCCAAGTAATTTTTACATGTCACCAGTGTTTGTAATATAATTGCATCTAACTAAATTACAATTGATTTGGGATTTCCGGTTTGTTGTAATCTTCTATTCTAATCAGCTTAAAAATAATGTTTTTTAAAAAAGAATGACCCATTTTTACACCACACTCAAGACTAGATTGATCAAAAGCAAAACAAGCTATCAATAAAGTTTGATATGGTTAATAGATAATTGGGTCATTTAAGTACCGCCTCCGGTTTTTAATATAAGAGCTCATTTGATTATTATTTTCATCCTAAATATAAGACCCTAATCCATTTTATTTCTCATATTTATCCATTTTTTTCAAGTCAGTGCTTATAATAATAGTAGTTCTAATCAATACACTTGATTAGTGAAGATATTTTTGGAAAAACAGAGCTTATTTATTACAAATAACTAATTTAACTAACTTTTTTAATCTGTTCAAATTAATTAACTAGCTCTTATATTAAGAATACGAGATAATATATTGTTAGGAGTCCGATCGAGTCCTAATCATGTGTATGAAAAATATCTTGTTAAAACGGACGAAAGCCCGCTTCTATAATACATGTGCCTCAAAAGTCAAAAGGGATTAGCTATTGATAATTGGCTGGAAAGACCTTAAGGCCAGCCCACTAAAAAAAAAAAAAAAACAGACAAAATAAGTTTTAAGGCGTGCTGGAGCATTGCTGTCTATACAATTCTATCCTCTCATTCCACATATGTATAGTTAAGCGTTCTTTTTGTAAATGGAAACAAGTTATGCCAAAAAAAGTATCTCGTATAAAGAGAAAAAAGAATGGGAAGCACGTATTAGGAGCCAGGGCCACCCTTGGCATAGGCTAGGGTTAGGCTGAATACCATTGGTCCAAATTTATTCACTTGCCCAGTATATAGCCCAATGTGATGAGGCTGGGTCCAAGGCTCAAGCGGGGTGCTTTAATGGACAATGACCGCATCGAGTGGGGGAGGCGGTGAGTCCCCAACCCCACCCCTAGTTTTCAAATTTAGGCAAATGAAGGAGAAGTCACCAAAATTAACTTATAATACCTCTCCTTTTTAATATATGAGTTAATTTAATTTTTAATTTTATTGTCAATATAAGACTCTAAACTACTTTGTCTCTTATATTTATTTATTTATTTTTAAAGTAATCCTTCCAGTGATAGCACATATTAAATATTTTATCAAATAGTAGTTTTAGTTAATAGACAAGATTAACAAGGGTATTTTAAGAAAGACAACACATATTTATTACAAACAACTAACTTAACAAACTTTTTTAATCTACTTAAATTAATTAACTAACTCTTATATTAAGAATCAGAGATAGTGTATGTATAGGCTATGCCATAATGTCATTCATGTAATTCATTATTGATTTAATTCAATGCATAAATAATGGATAGCTGAGTGAGAGAAAATCCTGAGGTGCTTACTGTTTTGCTCGTGCCTTAAAATATACTTTACGTTTGTATAATTATAATATGATTCATGACTAATTGTTCAAATAAATATATTTACAGAAGGTTGTAGGTTCCATACGCTAATATTACGAAAATTGGAGGGGCAAGTGCGCGATGTAGGGGGAAAAAAAGACAAAGCTTTTTTTTTTTTTTTAGATGTCATGATTTTTATGCAGTTATGAATGTTAAAATACCTGGATGTAGGGGGAGCATTTACATTTAAAGGCATCTTGAAAGTAAAGACAAATCTATGGGAATATTAATCACCACTTCATCAGTATTCAGAATAAAATACTCCTCCGGTCCTAATTATAAGACCCAATTAACTTATTTGAGGAGATTAAGGAAGTAAGTTAAGTTGGTTATTTATAATAAATAAGTGTTGTTATTCCTAAAATATCCTTGCTAATTAAGTATATTAGCTAAAACTATCATTATTAGAAGGATTATCTTGGAAAAAAATGCATAAATATAAAAGAGAAAATGGATTGGGTCTTATAATTAGGATCAAATAAAAAGTCAAATTGGGTCTTATAATAAGGACCGGAGAAGTAATAAATAGTGAGTTATGATTGGTTAAATGATACAATTATGAAGTTACTTCGAAAAAGACCAACCAAACTGGAACGAATGGTGAAGAAAATGGAGGGTCTTCTCGAGAATCTGTTTAATTTTATTTGGTCCTAATTATAAGACTCCAATCTATT